AAGGTGTTCAAGACGTGCCATTCCATTTGCGTGAACATCTCCTCGTCGTATAACGAGCAGCACATCGACTTTAGTTCTCTGATCATGGGGACGCGTTCCTTTTTGTCTCCATATTTGGCAGCGATGAGAAGTGCGGCACACCCAACCAATTGATAATGTCTCTTGTAGACAACACGTCGCGAGCAATATCTATCGAGAAGGTTAACAGCGAGGTGAAGAGTTTCCGGAAGAAGTTGAAATGCAGAGTGAGCCTCGATGAGGAAGTCGATGAGATAAGGCCTCATGAACCATTGAATCTCTTGTTGGATTTCTATCGAGGCAACGTCTGGCATAGTCGCATCCTATGGAAGATATTAGCATAAAGTCAGATGAAACTAGTAGAATGCAGAATAATTGACCTCCATCGATGCCATGTGATCAATGATATCATCCATATAAGCATCGCAAGCTTGTCTAGATAATTCATTGGCCATAGCCTCCTGCCTCCGTCGACCCATCATCTTGATATATTCTTGAGAGTTTGGTCGAGGTTGCTGTTGCTGCTGTTGTTGGAAAGTATTATCCTCCACGAAGAACGTGTCACAAGGTTGATTGTACGACATGTTGTAGGTGTAGAAGGTGATTTGAAGTTGTAGGTATTTTGGTGTTTGGTAGTAGGGAAAGAATGGACGTCAAGTTCTCCAGGAGCTTCGACTTGACAGTGGCTTTCGATAGTCACTGGATTGCTGTATTGTTGGTTGTAAAGAATGTGCTGTATGGTTCGAGAGAACGATACTTTGGTGTATTATTATTAGAGAGTGTGGGTGGAACTATAATTCGAAAATGAACGACAATGGCCTCAAAAAAAAGATGGCGAAAAATGTAAAAGCTGAACCTTTCAAAGTTGATATTGGTGAGGTGGCAGGTGAATATCACTTTATAAAGATACGGTGGAAATTCTAGTGAATTATAGGATTAGCGAGACTCTCAGCCGGAAGTGGAGTAGATCGTGAAAGGGAGAAGCCTCAATCATATGAAGGTGGAGAAGGAGAATGCTTCTTTGGTCATCAAAAACGCATGAAGCTGATGGCATTGTTCGTGAGAGGAGGGGAGGGGGGAGTCGAAGTGTGAATTGAGAAATTCGAGACTCACCAAGGTAGATCCCTCTTGATGGAAGACAATGAGAGGATAATGCGGTAGAAATGTTTTGAAGAAATTCTCCGTCGATGTTAAGATAGGATGAACGAGTAAACGTCTCCGATCTTTGACTATCTTGATCTTGCTTGAAATATTTGGTGTAATTACGTGCCGAGTATTGGGTTGAGAGGAGGAACGTAGAGCTTTTGTGGAAGAATGTTCAAGGTGAGATGAGCGACCGGTGGCATGTAAAAATGCTAACTAAGTAAGGGGAACCAAGAGTTAAATGTTAGTCAATGCCTTTCATAAAGGATTTTGCTTGTTTAATTGGAAGGATAAGGAGATTTGAAGACAAGACTTTTGCATAAAGTTCGGGGGGGGGGAGGGGAGTTCAATGCTCACCTTGAATTGTCGAGTATCTTGACTTTCAATTGTGGAGTCAAATCTTAAACTCCTCTAACTTTTATAAAAAGAGTTGACGAGATTGAGATTGACAACAAAAGAGGTACCACTTGAAGATTATTGAAAAAATTATTACTTCGAAACAAACAATACCGAGAATTGAAACAATTCGAGGTATTCGAGATCGAAGAATTGAGATTGGAAAAGAATAGAACGGAGTCGAAACTTGGTGGCAGAAATAACACAATTTTTTTGGAGTATTGAATTTGTTCTGGTGAGTATCAAGAGATGAGAAAGGATTCAAGTCGAGAAGTGATTCGAGTGAAGTATGTGTGTATGTGTGTAGGATGAGGAGGAGGAGGAGGTGGAGGAAGGTAGTTTCGATTACTGAATTGAATGATTAGATGACGATGATGAATGTCTTCCAATTCTATCCAGAAAAGAATAATCTTCGAGATTGTTGAGACGAAGACTAGGAGGGGTGAATTGTGTGAATGGTAGTTTCTTTCTTTTTTTTTCCTCGTAGAAAGTGACAGCTATGGACAGTCGAATGAAAGTTCAAGTGAAGAATATTGAGTGGTGTATATGTGTGTGTGTGAAGTTGCAATCGAGCAATCTTCCAGCCAAATTCTTGCTTGATTTTTCAGATTTCTTCGAGCTTCAACATAACAAGGTGTCAATTATCCAATGACCTCTTTATGCCCGTCTATTGATATATGAATGGAGAGAGACTGTCGGAGGAGAGGAAAAGAGAGAAGAAATCTAGAGAGCGAAGAAGAAGAGGGGAGGTTTGTGTAGTTCAAGGAGTGAAAGAATGGATCGAATGGATCTCGAGAGAAGGTTGAGAGTAATGGACCTTTTTCTACACCGGAAGAGGAATGGTATGAAGATTATTACTTTTTGACATGGGGGGGGGGAAGAGGAGGAAAGTAAGTGGAGTATTAAAAGCACATTCGTATGGTTTTGCAAGTGGGGACGACTTTCCTTCTTTGGTTAAAAGGAAGAATTATTGCTGCATTGAGGAAAGTATCTATAAGTAGAAGATGATAGCTGGACACAGGCAAGAGTGGTAGTCAGAGAGGAGAGATGTAAATTGGACGAGATGGATCGGCAGAAACAGACCGATAGATACCTACGACCTACCTCGATAGGGAAGCCAGTCCTAGGTGGTGACACTCACCAAAGCAGGAATTCTCATTGTGATCATGACTATGACTGTGACTGTGACAACTTCCTACAGTGAGTGTACGTACCATACGGTGATTCTGTTGAGAAATGCATCGTCAGGTAAATAACATCAGACGAAAGATCCCTAGTCGGCGTTGTGGGTAGAGAAACCGACCGGAGGGATGTGGATGACACTGGATGTGCGGAAGCAATTACCTAGAGGCAGCGTGTTCTAAATTCTAATTGAACGCGCTTTCCCTGTTGGCAGCTGGATTATATCTATAAATCACGGTATAAAGTATTACGGAATATGCACCATTACCTACGTTCTGTCTAAGTCCCGATCGACACCAGCAGATTATTGGTGTGGGAGGGATTGGAGAGAAACGGATGTGTAAGCCATCCCAAGAAGAGGAACAAGAGGACCTAGACAAGTGCATCCATCCATCGTACGGTACGGGGAATACATTCATCAATTGATACGAATCGTGCCATTTCTTGAAATCTTGGAAGCTTTTTTCCTCCGTGCCATGGGATGGGGGTGGGATGGGATGGGATGGGATAGGATAGATAGGATAGGACAGGACAGGATAGGACAGGATAGGATAGGATAGGATAGGATAGTCTTTGCAGCTGCTCCGGTCAGACAATGTGCCAAAAGTCGCGTGTGCTTGATTCAATTGGCTCTGCATGATTTACGTATACTCTATACACTTGAACTCTTACATTTCCATCCATCTCACTCATCAAACACGCCAAAACGCGTGAAGGGGAAAAAAAGGAATGGAAGAGTGTAGCATTGACTATCGTATCGCACTGTGATAGCCTCACCATCCCTCACCATCCCTCACCATGTAATCAATTCAATAAATAAATTTAGAGACTTGGGCGTGGTATCATTACTGCAGAGCAAGCACATTTCACACTACTAAACTCCGCTCCACTCATATTTTGAGAAGTGCAGAAGTACGGAGTGCACGAAGTACACATACCCAGATGGAAACGTGATTTCCATGTGACTAAACTGGATGCAGGCAGAGATGCTCCCAATATTGGACCGAAAAATGTTTAACCAAAATCAGAAACTATGCTTCTCCAAAGCATCATGTAGCAGTAGGTATAATGTGCCCAATTCTATCAACATCTCTTTCCTTCACTCATCCCAGAATTCACATCCCCCAGCTCAATAAAAGCCAGACATCCTGGAAAATCAATCGAAACTTCTTATACTTCGATTGAAATCTAACCATTCACACATCCTTGATAGACACGCTTGAGAATACCTGCATACATGCATCAAACCATGTCCACACAGGAAACAATACCATCAAGTTTGATTTGATTCATTTCTCACTGGCTCGAGATTGGATTGCTGATCAATTTATATGCTTTGGTGTATGTATCCTGCATAATTCATTGATTTGTTAACATTGACTCGTTTATATCTTTCTATAGAGGGCATGCCTATGTACATCACGTTGCAACGACATGAAATACATCAAGGCAATGCACCTCTTTCCCCTATTCCTGAGTGCCTTGTCTGCAATCAAGGGCTGAGCATGCTGGCTATTGGTTCAATGACGAGGAGAACCAGGCAAACGCATCACACCTGAGCGCATCAATAATTCCATACCAACAATTAATCAATAAGAAGCAATACGTGAGCATTCAGATCTCGCCCAGACCTTGATCATCTTGCATATTCTGTACCATCAAAAAAAAGAGACTTCCCTCAACCGTGTTTCAAGAGAAGTGCAAAGGGTACGGGGTAAAAGATGGAAGAACCCCCAACCTGTGAAGCTCAGATGCAATATGAATGAACTTACCCTTTTACGAATATGTTCCGGGAACATATAGGTGTCTATGGTACTTTGTACACGATATAATTTCGAACTGGAAACCTTCCTCGTCTCCAGCTTATTTTAAGCCACCGGTTCGTTGGATCTCCGTGTGATTTGATCAGATCATTCCATTCGCTGTCCCAGGTTGGTGCAATCTCCAAACCGTTTGTATCTGGATATTACCGTCGTCCAATGGCCTCATACTTTCGTCTTTTCAATAATTCGAAATTCAATGCGCCGCTGAAATACTTCGGTGGGCTTCGAATGGTTTGGAATCATTCTGTCAATTAACGACCGTCCCCAGAACAAACCTTCTTCCACTATCATTTGGATATCAGTTGCAAAGCAACATCACATCTACATGATTTGTCCGGCTAGTTTCGCAGTATAAATTTCTCTAGTAACATTCGGTACTCCATAGCACAAGCATTAACTTCCTAACTTTAGGTACCTTAAGTACCACTAACTAATAGGCAATTCTGTCCATCCGCCAACCATCCAAGTGATTACAACCAAGCAGGAGATTTGGGTTGGTTGCTATGCTATCAAACTTTCTCACTCCACTAATCATGAAACCATTACTGCTTTCCAAGCAGAATTTCCACCATCCAGATCTTATTTCAGGCTTGGTCTTCAATGGCCATAGCCATTAGAACAGTCCTGTTCGTACCAAACCACGACCGGAATTTGGGGTAAGTTTATGCACAAAATACATGCACCAGACGATCATTAGGTCGACCAAATCAGATCAATGGCTGGTAACGATGTACCATTATTTTCACAGTCGAGATCTTCAAAATCAAACCGACCCGCAAATATAAACCCGCCAAGACTCTTCAAACTTCGACAGCCCCAGAAGTAAACCATTTGGTGCCAGAATGGTCCAAACTTCCTAGACTTTCATCCTCATGACCGTTTATCCTCATCGAAGAATGGGGCTCTTTAATTTCTGGGTACACACAGACCTTACCTGACATTTATTATTTGGCTGGGACATGTTTTGCTTTCAGTCTTTGAGATATCATTCCTCCAATCAGAAAGGAGGTCGAATGGGTGAACGGCATGGCAAGACGAGGATTGAGATTGAAGAACTGATGGACCCGACAACTCGGTACATAAATATCGTGAATAGTGTTGATATTGATATACATGGTATGCATCTTGGTACTATATTCATAACTAGATATCAGGTCAAGTAGTTTCAACCGGCAACCATTTGTACTAATCTCCCTAACTAGCGAGAGTCTATTACTACACTCTCGTACCGCGCCTTGCTGTATCAAGTAATACCAATACCAGTCCCGCGCTCACGCGATGCCGCGCCGCTCCGCTCCACGAAAAACGCGTTCCTACCATTCCATAGTACGCTACTTTAAAGCAATTGTCCACACGCGATGACGCTACCTTACCCTGGACCATGATCCAAACGCTTTTCATACTCCACCCACAAGGACCTTCCTTCCTTCGTATGCAACCAGCATATCCTAATGCCTGATTCATTCCTTTGCCTCTTCAATGGTCATAGATGACATATCTGACAATATATCTGGTGATGTGAATGCAAATCAAGATATGCAATTGCAGAAATCAAGAAAAGAAACCATGGAACTTACGAAATCCAACGAAGATCTGAAAAAATTAAGGGTCCTGGGAAATCATTCCGATTCCTTCATCAATCAATCACACACCCAAATAATTTACCCATCACACCACTCAAACACCTCGCAACCGCAGTCACCTTCCAAGGCCTGCGTAATGTCCGAATAACCCCCTCCAGGACTGTTCGCCGCTTGCTGCGTACATTGCTTATTTCCTTCGGCGTCAAGCGGATTCCCGGCACCTCGGCTGTACTTTATGAACTGCTCGTGAACTTACCCTTTGCTTTGCTGTGCCGTAAGCACTCGGGATTACTTCCCAAGTTTCTCGTAACGATTATTGAATTTTTGCACTGCAGATGATGTGTATATGCTCGCGTGTCATTGGATACCTACGATATTGGACGATGGATGGGGAGGCATCTTGAAGAGATTTTAAAAACTCTTCGCGAGGATCCGCTGAGGTTGAACAGACAGCCCCAGTACGCCGTCGCTTTCTCCGCACGGAGGGTCGTGGGAAGGTGGATTGGATATTTCGCTGAGAGTCCAATATGAAGGCATTCGAATAATTATGGGCTTCAGTGGTATATCTCGTGCATAACTACTGTATGCAATACAAAGACTAGCAAGAACGATTTCCCACACCTCCGATTGGCTGGAGGCTCCTCACTTATGCTACTTCAATGTATCTCCACATTCTTAGTTGTTCAGCCTCATTTTTTATGATTTATACAAGTGAGATACATATATCCAAGACATAAAAAAAATAGGCAAGTAAAGTAAAGCTCGGACGGTGGTCACACAGACGGACTATCTAGCATACCTACTATCTTTTATCTTTACGTATTCGAACGACGCTGTTCCGGATTTAGTCTCGGTCGTCACCCTCCTCTGGAAATCTCTGATTCGGGAAGATTTGCATCGTGGGTTTCCGCTGGCTTCCATTTGTCTTGTAGAGTAACTGGTTTGTCTTGGTCGATCTCAATCTTTCAAGCTTTCTTTGCACCGAGGAATCAGGATGGTCGATAGAGTATCGAGTGCTGGTTAGTTCATCTGCTCATCATGGGTATGTCACTGTATTGAATTAGCATTGGGCATTAGCAAGATCGCAACGTATAGACTTTGGGTCCTGGGAGGTTCCGACTGGATGGGGGATTCCCGATTCACACTATGGTAGCTACGTTGTGATGGATGTGATGTATGTACTCTAACTAGCTTCTTCACGGGTAAGGAAGGTAAGGTAATGGAGAAACTTAATTCTCGGATATTATTATTTACACTTCCAATCCGACCGTGTGCACTCTCTGTGTAGATGTCTTATCGTAGATACTAGATTGGAAAAGTCTATTGTGGAGAGAGCAACATTCTTTCTTTCTCCAGAACAACAGCTGGTAGGTATGTAGGTATGTAGGTGATTGATTACAATTCGCACCATTCCCAAATCCAATAGCCCCTCTTCGATCGCCTATCTCGATCTTCACTCACCGTGTTGACAAATTTCTCACAATTCGCTTATGTACGGGGTATTTGGTGATGCGATGTGATGTGATAGATGGATGATGTGTTTGTATGTATGTGTATGTGTATGCAGCAGAAATTTTCTTCCCTCCGCCTGGATGGGGGACGGTGGGCAGGATTCCCAAATACGTATCATAGGGATTGGTTAGTTGAGATGAGATAAATGCCTTGGTCTTGGGATCGTCTCCATTGACCACCTTGTTACGATAAACTCACCCACTAGTACTCCGAACACCTAAACCTAAACCCAAATGCAAAATTCTCTATTAAATAGGTATATAATCAATATAGTCAATAGAGAGATATGATGAAAACATCCACTTTTTGTTTCGGTTTCAGAGAAATCCAGGATCGAATTAGGCTTTATATGTTTTGGAATAGTACGAAGGAGGTAGAGTTTTTACACAGACAAACAAAAATAAGCAACATTCTCCATTCCATACCGACTGAGGATCGGTTTCCGCCGTACAATCGCTCACCGTAGATATGCATGCATAGAGTAGCCATTTAACACGTGCACTTTTGAAGCAACTAGCTACATGCAAAATCAAAGCCCAGCGATCGGTGTACTCTGTAGCTTGCATTAGATTTGCCTGGCCCTCCAGCACCGACCTACCTACCACCTGCCTTGTTGATGTAGAAGAAAATCCTCACCCCGCATTTTGTGCTCTCGCTTACTGTGCAGAGCATAAGATGTGCTAATGGCTTTGGTGGTGGAATTAAAGTTATGCTATTTATGTATTGTCTATGCACTAATTATCCCCGGTAACATTCTCGAAATGACATATTGATATCATGTCGAGATGAGAGATGGAACGAAGGCGAAATCTAAGAATACTTTTTTTTTTAACCAATATTACATATCAACACCGAGTAATTAATAAATCCGCATGGTGTGCAAGGAGGCGCGGGTTTGTATTTTTGCGCAGTATTTTTGGTCCGAGTTCATTCACGTGTCTGTCTTTGCCTTACACATCCCATCTTCCCATGTACACAATAGCCTCAAATCAATACAGCGCGCAGAAACTGCTCAGCCTTCCAAGCCTCAATTAACCCTCTCATGAAAGAAGCAAGAATCAGAAACCGCGGTACGTACGATTACAAGACTTGTGTATGCCCCGACGCCGCGGCGCGGCGGATGCGAAGAGTCGGTCGCGGAGTAAGGGAGAAATGGATAATGTGGCCGGGCATGTTCACATCGGTGCCGATGCGAGCGTTGCGGCGCCCCCTGGATTTTTGTATGCGCTGAGGTGGGAATCCTCCAAGCAGCTGCAGAGTTGGTATCGAATCTCACATCATGTGAAGGGTCTCAGGGAGGGGAATGTACATGCTACGTAGGGGACCCGAGTCTTACAACACATTTACGCTACCTACCTATCTGTGCAAACGGCTGTTGGGAGATGAATCATGATGTATGTAGGGAATCCATGAACCGAGACAGACAGATAGGAGAAGACATTCTATGATGAGATGATGTTGTAGTTTTTACCCCTATTCATTAGTAGACACTCTTGATCCTGAGCAAGGAAACTTGAGCAATAATAGGAGAAGCTCAGTGTGTCAAGTACACACTTGATCTGCATCACTAGGGAATTCCTGGACAACCCCTCCTTCACCCATAGTACGTAGCAACCACAAGACTGACTAGGCATATCCGAGTTGGTGCAACACATCTAGAGACTCATATCGCACCATGACACCTGAACCCAATAATCTAAATTAGCCCCCAAACACATTCCACACAAACGCGTGAACGCGTGGGAGACGTGATTTTTTTTTTCTCTCGTAAGGATGCATGTTGCAAGGACTTGCATATGCGGCTACTAATATCTTGGTACGCTACGCAAAGTGCATGCAGCGTAGCACAGGAGGAAACTTGGTTTGGGGATGGAGCGCTTGGATGATGATGACATTGCTGTAAGGTTTTTGTGTAGCAGGATTTCGGATTGTCTTTGAAGCCTTGATATTGTGTGAATGGTTTCTGGCGTGGTGAAAATGCGAGGCGGGGAGCGCGATTCACATTAGTGTGGATTCGGTTAGCACATGCTCATCTTGCGGGGTGAATGCATCTCTGGTGATGTCGACTTGGATTGATAAGGATAAGTTCCAGGGGAAATTCGATAGGCCTCGGTGCATCTAAATCTTCAATCTGTGGAAAGTGTATTTTGGATATCTCGATCAAGAATCGAAATTGTTCCCTCGATTGCCGATAAATCTATGTACCATGAACGATCGATCTGCGAATCTTCATGACTTTCCTTCTGAATTTCTTTTTCTTTTTTTTTCGCAGCGGGCATTTACCGGCGAGTTGGTAGGATCAACAAGTCTTACGAGTTACGAAGCTGGGCGGAAAAGCAAAACCCGAGTGGACGCAGTGGAGGTCACCCCCCAGAATTCACCCGGCTCTTGGACGTCTGCAATACGGGATTTGTCAGGTCGTTGCGCCATTTTGGAATGCTCTAACGAACCACTGTCAAAACTCACTGCATGAAGTGTACCGTTATGATACGAAATTGAAGGTTTTGACAAGCACAGCCTATCCCTCAAGCAATTGACACGGGCCGAAGACATCTTCCCCACGACTCAATAGTCTCGTAGTTTGAGGAAATAATGATATCAAGTGTGAAACCGGCCCCATCGACTGCGCAACTTTCCTATTCCCGAGCGAGTGAATCAGGCATACATCGAAACCTTATTTCACAAGAGGGAAAGTGCCACATGAAGCTGTTGAGTTTATACGGCGTTTGTAATAAGGTTCAACACAGGTCTTAAGATCATCGCAAGTGTACATGCAAGTCTTATCCCCGTTTCTGTTACTGTGCCAGAAAATCATAGTGGGAGACGGGACTGCGAACAGACACACGCGAAAACAACTGCCTAATACAATACCTCTAAACAGCTTTATTAACATGGAATCAACCCAAACATTTCATGCTAATTCAATATGTCTAGTTGGGAAGCACGAAATTGTCGCGAAACCCTGATCACCAAAAGCCTCATCGCGAATCTAACACGCTACCTAGTTCTCAGACTATTTCGTTGGTAGACACGCAATGGTTAGGTAGTGTAAGTACGTACGTATTTGGGGATTAATGTGTGTATACATTTATGTCGTACCCCGAGCGAAAATCTATGGAAGAGTATGGGATAGGGTAGGATAGGATAAGAGGATGCCAATAATACGGCTCGGCGTATCTCATCTCAACCTAGTGTTTTCCTTGTCTGAAATGAATGGGGGTTCGTATGGGTGGCGTTGTAAGGCTAGGAGGGATCATTATGGTTGGGAAATACTATTACTATCTTACCATGACCATGAAATGAGAACCGAAGGCTGCTCGATGTTGGTACTGGAATGGGAAGGTGTATATTTAGAGGTGTGGTTTGCTTCTGTGAGTGGAGTGAGGTTCAGTTGAATACGACATTAAACGGAAAATTATGTCTAGAATTGATTCGATGGAAGTCATCCCCTTTTTCCAAGGTCTAAAGTGGTGGCTGTGGCTGAAAGCTGGTCCAAATTCCTGACTCAATTATTTAATTGGACAATTCATTCATCACCGCCACACTATTGCAGGTATCACGTACCTCCTGTATTTCCCATCCCATCTTTAGCATATTTATCCCGTCTCGCAGTGTAAAATGATATATTCCCCATCCTATCACAGACACTTAGTGCCTTGCTCAGGAGGTCCAGCTAGGAACTCACTGACACCAAAAATCCTACGACCCACACGGATATTGAATACCATGCCTTGACTATAGTACTACACCTCAAATCACGAAACGATTCTCTTGTTCTTTGCCACACCTTCGTTCCAACTCCCAGCATAGATCAATGAGAAACTTGCATGAACCCAGTCTGACGCGTGAAGAAGCAAAACGGGTGAGCACCTAGGTATCTTTAGAACGGAGAACAAGCCAAATGATACGAAACCATCACCAAATCTACGCGCTTCCTTGTGAAAGTTTCGAAAAGCAAATTACCGTACATGTATACATGTATGTACCTAGACGGTGCTAATAGAAATGAAAAGTCCTATCACGCAGAAACTATACTCGCCACGGTAAAGTTGATACAACTAGCTGGTTAGTCACCAATACATCCGGATTTCACGTTCCTCATAAGTATCAAATATCCGAATCACAAACATTTCAATTTCCATCAAACACTCTGCACATCTTCCTTTACTGGAATCGTCCTAGCGACTTCTGCTTCAAGAATCAATCACATGCAGTCACGTAAATTTCACCTATTGCCTATGCAGTATTAATCTAAGACCCCATCTCTCGGAACCGGAAGATCTTCATCCTAGTCTTTCGGGGCTTGCAGTGCAAACGAAATTGAAGGTCATGGAAGCTTTTTGATCTCATTCTAGAATAAATGTTTTATATGCGCAGGAACCGAGATAATAAAAAGCAAATAAGTGCAGATGGATTGATTTGATTTGATCGATTAATATGTGTTGTCAAACATCAATTAATCAGGGCATCCCTTCCTATTCTCTTTTGATGGATTGATGTAAAGGATGGAAATGGGGAAATAGGAGGAAATTGAGATTTTCGGGGTCCATGCAAATGTCATGTGCATTATGCATATTTCCCAATATGCATATCTGGAATCAGTATGACATGCGCTGTGCTTCAATCACGACTCCACTTTTTGGGCGGGCAATTTCTTTCCTTGCATTCATTTCTAATTCTATCTTGAAGAATGGATAGACTGTATAGAGAGTGATGGGGAGGATAATAATCGAGCACGACAGCTCATTTCATGCATCGTGCCTTTTTTTCCCATTCCTCTGATCGACAGGACAGGACAGGAAAAGATTACGTGGTACAATGGGCATCAAGCAGTGGAATTGTAGGGTACGAAGTTTGAAAGAAGAGGGGTAGATCTCGGGTACGCGCAGCTTCTTCAGGGGTTATGGAGGTTGTTTGCGAGAGCTGTGGGACAAATTGATGGGATGAAGGCAGGGTTGTAATGTATAGGTAAGGTACTGTGCGTGGTTTCCTGCGCAAGGCAAAGCAGAGGGGCGAAAAATCAGAGGAAAGTGTCTTTGCTTCGGTGAGAGAAGATATGAAATCTTTGCATTGTTTGAAATACCCGTCATATCCGATGAGTGCATCGCAAACAATGCTTTCTCTTTGAAATTGATTGTCAGTCTGCGTCTAGGAGTCTCTAGTGGCACAAACAACCTTCATTCTCGGTGAGGAAAGCTTGCATCTCTCTCTCTCTCTCTCTTTCAGATCGTCGGGAATGTCTCATGCATATATTGGAAATTACTCAGTGGTACAATGCTCAATATTGAGAGTTGTCAACTAGGAAGACACTTTCGGTGGAGGATTGACAGGAAAACTCAGCTGGCTGTAATACGAAATACACGACAGATACCCCAAGGGTATGCCTGACACATATCGTGACTTTTGCATGGATAATCATCAGCTTGATGATTTGCGCTTGCGAGTGAAGATCGGCATGTGAAGTTGAAGGAATTTATACCTATTAACTTCCAAAGAGGTTTTAACAATGTTTAAGGTAGCTGTCAAAGATGCGCAATGGAAAGAACAATTTACAGCCTCGTAGCGATTCACTTGCTTTAACTTCTCAAATGTGTGTCTGTGTCTTGTTTGAATCGAAAAGTCTGTTGATGCACTTTCCTTGAAAATAGAAGATATATGCCTTGAATGTTCTGCAGCTGCCTTGATTCCCTCGACCTCAAATGAATGGAAAGCTTTTTCCATTGCATGAACTCTCTACACCTTCTCAATTATTTTGTGAACTTTTCAGTCTACAAATTTGCATGAAGTCGTTGCTCAAACAAAATGGGTTAGAACAAGCAAGTTCACAAAGGCTCATTCTATCTATTACAACAAAGAAAAATAAGCTGGCAAAGAAGGTTGAAAGAGGGCTTCCCCCAGGAGTCGAAAAGAACAGAGATAAGATTGTTGACAAAGAAATCTGAATCTGTGCTGGCTCCGTTTGCAGTCTGAAAACGATGCGCGACAAAGGACAAATTCAGTTGGGGGTTTTGTTTTTTGGATAATTCTTTACATGGAGAGAGAGCCTCCACAGGGTAGAGAAGGCGGTGATCTTCGCCATTTCTACATCAAAGATCGTGGCAATTGACTACAGCCATTATAGATACAACTTTTGTGTGTATCTTTTATCATCTTCATCCATCTAAGACTCGGTGGTCATCGTATATTGATGTATGTGCAAGAATTTACCCCGCGATGTGCGATGTTGCTTACCCCTATTGTTTCATTATGAGGAATGTTTAGGTTATTCTCTTGGAACAATTTTCTTTAGAGAAGCTCAATTGAATGCAAATGGCAGCTTAGCTATTTCTCTTGAAAGAAAAACTTATATGAAAGTAAAAGCTTGCACACAAAGAACGTTTTAAGCAGGACTTCCACCCAGCTCTCAGTAGCAAACTCACTAATTCCAAGCTTTCTATCCTCCGTTAGACTGCAGACATTCAGTATCATTAAATTTTGGAAAAGAAGTGGAAGTAGGAATCATCACAAGTATTCATGGAGATCCAACCAGAGGGGTAAGTCAAGATCTATATATCACAAGAAAGGCAATACGATCTAACTATTCTCAAAAAGAACGGACCATGAGGACCTCTCTCCAGGAGAGGACAATGGAGATGAATCTGATCAATCCGATCAACATGAATTACAACCCCCCACACCGCCTAGGGAGTTGAAAGTTCCGAAGTTCTTGACTGAAAGAGTGCATGGGGAACCACGTCCCGACCCAAAAACTTCTTTCAAAGGCCACGAACAGCCGCCGGCAAATGAACGCCTTGAACAAATCAAGACGTTTCTTGCCGACGAGGATGCGAACCGATGCTTAGACTTCAAAGACAAGCTTAATCAAATAAAAGATTATCTTACTCACATTGAGAAGCACCGAGTCCCATGCGATAAGAGCCTCTTCAAAGATGCAAAAGTAATGACAGATGTCCAAGTAGATTGGCATGATCGCATGGAAAAATCCGCTCTCGGCGATCCCTTATGTGTAGACACTCCCCAAATCCAACCCTATAGCACGAGACTTATGTCGAATGAAGTGACTCTTGCTATTCGCGAAACGAAGGAAATCAATGGCACACAGACACAAATTCGTGAAGATCGGCCTCCTTTCACAGTTAAGCGTACTAAAGATCATGCGGTATTTCTCAGAGCTATTAAAGAAGATGCGAAGAAAACTTTGACGGATCTTACGGAAGAGGAAGAGAATCGAAATCTTTTTAAAATTGAGAATCACGCATACGTTGATGCAAACAAAAACCCGGCATTAATTCCTCTTTGGACAGATCCTATTCGCGGTATATCAGATACTGGGAAGACCCAAAGTAGCGCTGATCCTTGGTATGGTAGCGGCCAGGTTCTAGGGGTTACTCCAGAAGGGGAAGGCGAACTTGAGCCAAAGCACAACCCTCTCCCACCTGTAGTCAAAGGATACCTGGAAGCTGTACGATACTATTTGAATGAGTACAGGGAGAATGTCATTTCCATTGGACGTGGAGATCTACGTCATGCCAAACAGTGGAGTGTAGCGGCCTTGAAAAGCTTTTTGCGATTATTACCAACCCCAGAGGCAAAAAAGCTTGAGCGTAACGCCAATGTTTATTCAACTGGGCAAAGAAAAGGCGATATGACAGAAGAAGAATATAGAGCTGTCAAGGATGATTGGCAGAAGTACAATGATTTACAAGATCAGCTGTTGGAACATCTCTCTGCTAAGACTACTCCCCAAATACAGTTGTTCTTTGACGAGCCAGACACGGTCAATAAAGATACGTACGACCCTACGAAGATTAACATCACACGGGAATATGGCGAACGAATGCGGGAAGTCCATGCAATGCAAGCAGAGCTTCATGAACTTATGCGAGAATGTCGTGACAGTAAAGGCCCGCAATCTTGCAATTGGTGGATACTGGGGAGGATGGCCGAGATACTTTCACCTGTTGAACCTGATATATTCGGTGAAGTGGGACAACATTGGGCCCAATTCAAAACCAGACACGTTCCTTTGCTTTGGGATAAAGCATTCGATCTACCATCTAAGAGAAATTGGCTCGTCTCTCGTAGTGTCGGAGATAGAGCCGTGATTGATCCTTACATCAAGAGATTACGGGATCTCTGGACAACGATTTTCGAGAATGAACCAGAACTTCAACGTGAAGAAGCCGATATTGAGAGTGGTGCACCATGGATTGTATTATTACCATTGCAAAAGGGAGCTCTAAGGACTGACCCAATAAGACATAAAATGTCGTCCGACTTTTTGCAACCATATATCTTCTATGTACCTTGGGCCACTCCCAAACCTCAGCTTTCTCCGGAATTAGAAAAGCAATTGGAAAGAATTCATCGACTTCTAAAAGCAAAAAGCGACCAAGGAGGTGTATTGAATCATGTCGGAATGGCAGCACTTCGACAAAATCTAGCGCCTTTCTTTTATCCTCGACTCCGTCGAATGTATGATCAAACACTCAGTGATAATAAAAAGGTTCGAGACAAGGCACTTAAGGCATTTGCTGATATTCTGGATCCTTGGCTAGCGGGATTCGAAGGAGTTGGAATCGAGATAAGGAGTTATAAGCCGGAGGATAAGCAAGCTCTCCTGACATCAACCATACCAGCAACTCTCGTTGATGCACCTGATGCTGGAAAAGCTCCCGTATTGAGACAGCGCGATCCATCCGTTCTATATCAGACCCATAGAAGATTAGACCCGGATACTTTAAACACACTCAACGCACAACTGAACAAGGATATTCCCGATAATGGTGACGTCGGACAAGGTACTGGTGGAGGATGGGACCAAAAGAAGAAGAAAACCTATGCGAGTCTGCTAGGTTCTCCGGCTTTGCAAAAGATAGAAGCAGAATTAGACAAGATTGAGGATGAAATCAATGGTCTGAGAGCTGACGCATCCCCCATTGTTCTCGCTGGTTTGCAGAAAGAATGGGGCCTCATCAAGCAGAGGCTTGAGGAGGAAGAGAGACGGACTGTGATCGGAGTCAAAGCCGCAGCCAATTCCAAATTGAAGGACAAAACCATCAAAGTATTACAAAGTGTAGATTTCGTCGACACGGACGTTGATACCGACAATCTTCCTGGAGTCTTTTACCTCGCCACTGAACCACCTTCGCCGATGTCTATTCATCCTACGAAGGTTGATACTCTGTCTCTTGTACCCAATCTCGATACTGGTATCCATCGTAATCGGGAACAAAATTGGCAACAGTTTATCCTAGGATATCCGCAAACAGCTTCTCAGTACGACACGGGCGCATTAAACTTTCAGTCCAAGGCCGAAAGAAGGGGTATTCAACGAGCGGCTATTGAAATCGCTTTGAATTTATTAGCCTCCAACTATGAGCAACGTCGTCCGGACGATCGATTCCGTCGCACTGTAATTCCTTCGCCATGGCAGCAACCTCTACCAGAGGTTCCAATATCAATGGAACTTGAACCTACCAAGCGACCCGTAGAATTGGACACAAAATACTATACCAAACTTATGGTTGAGTACACGAGGTGGAAAGATGACGACTGGTATGATGCACGTGAAAAAATCATCAAGACCACCCCGGGTTACGTTCCACCGCCGGCTAATTTTAATGGCCCTTTTACAATTCCATCGATGTTCGAATACCAAGATGCTGCTGCCAAATACTTGGGAAGCCTGACTCCAACTTGGGATGCTTTGTTACATGCAGCCAAGACCTACCCGAGGCCATTTCTGACCGCAGTTCTTGCACGTATTGAGAGAGGTGTAAGGTTTGAGCCTGGTCAAGAATTCGATTTGCTTAACGAAGTAGCAAATGGTATGGAGGTGAAATTGGTACCACAAGAACTCGGTGTCCTCCGGGAACTGACCGAACCATCTTGGAACTGTCATTGGCTGCCATATCCTCCGGTCGCAGACGACAAAGGAGACATGCCTAGACAGATTCTCGATGAGTTTGAAAGAGATATTGAGGCACTACCAGAACCTGAGAAACCTCCATACTGGGTATCAGAGAAGGGCCCGAGTGAACCACCGATAGGTACTTATCCTTTGAGCCAGAGAGATATTCGTACAATCAACAAGTATGATCCCCGTGTCAAGAGTACCGATTTTGTGCCCATGTTACAACTTCTCCAGCATATAAATGATCGTCGGACTAGACAGAATTTGCCTCATTTCGACAGAGTTACAGCGAGAAGGCACTTTACGACAATGCATGAATACCATCACATACAGTATGTTCCATGCCATTTCATTTAATATCAAAAATAGCTAATTTGTTTAGTTTTGAAACAGGTCTTCAACCTGAACTTGAACTTGGCTTCGAGCTTGATCGTGTGGCAAGAGTTGCAATCACAGGCCATCCCGAAATGAAGTATATCGATGATCGACGTCGAGCGTTTGCCGGCTATGGAATTCACTGGGACGAAGCAACCAACACCTTTAGTGTTCAATATAATGCGGTTCGATTCATGGGACCTCCGATTATCCAGCCTAATCTCTACAGTTTCATCGAAAAGGCGGCTTTCAAGTTCGGTAGAGCAATCGCTATGTATACGGAAGAACTCACAATGGACGAAAGGCACTACACAAGAGAACTCAGCCTCGAAGTTGTTCACCATAGTTACTCAGACACAATGAAACGCTTAGAAGGCAAGGAGCTATACCCTGGGGAGCCCAACGTACCCCCCGCGAACCCCAACCCAAACAACATAACTCTAATTCGCATCGCATCTGATCTCTTCAAGGTCGCGCCTGACATCTTCACCGACCATGGTCTTAACCTCGAAACGCTTCTCGACTCCTCTGTCCCGTATTCCACCCGTTTGCAATACTCTGCCCTAGTGATTCAAACCCAAGTCATCGAGGAGCTGAATAATAACTGGGAATCTCGTTTCCCTATGAAAGAAAATGTTTGGGGATTCGCCCGGGATAGATTGGTTAACCCTGTTCGCACTGTAGTCGCGGGTCGCACTTTTACAGAATATTACAAACCGCGTCAATATTTCAGTATGCGAAGATGGCCACCGTGCGAACAGAGTCCTGCTGGTCAACAAGTCATCAAGGCTAGTGGGCCGGTGGTACAGGTAAAGGCTGTCAAGGAACCGGCAATCAGAAAGTCGAATGAGGAGAAGAAGATGGATTCGTTGAGGAAAAAGCAGGAGCCGGTACATATTGGGGGCGCGCCGCCTAATTTCCCATTCGGAGAGACGCCTTATCAACAGGCTTATCAGAGTTGGAGGATCACGGAGGATTTGAAAGATGGTAAGTTACCATTCACTTTTGTCTCGTCTCATATTTTTTTCTGGTGAATTCAATGTTGGACTGTAAATCAATGATGCTAACATTTACATCACCCAGTTCCCGAGTTCAATCCTAAACCTAAACCAAAGAGCCTCCTCGACAAAGTTCTTCCTACTATTCCCCAGTCACCGATAGACCGTTTTGCACTCCCCAGAATTCCCCCTTCCTTCCGTCCCAGAAGTATCCCTGTCGAAGTTTTGCGCCAAAAGACCATTGCAGCCGCCCAATCTATGGCTGGCCTACCTAACCTCACTGAATACTACAGAGAAGACAACGAAGCAAGGGCAATAAACGATTACCGTCAATGGCAGAAAGAAAATGAAAGGATCAAAATGATTGAAGAATTGGCGAAGGGGAAGAGTTGGCAGAGTATGACAAGGGATGAGAGAGAGAAGTATGAAGGGGAATTGGCTGTTATTGAGATGGAGGAGCAGCGGGCGCTACAGAATGCAGGAGGATGGAATATTGCTGGAGGTGAAGTTAAAGAGAGAAAGGGAAAGCGTGGTTCTGATGGAGCCTTGGTATTGAGGACCGGTCGTGGCGGGAAGAAAAGGAACCGAAGCGGGAGTGCTGGTGGAAAAGGGGGTAGAAAGAGGAGAGGCAGTAGACCGACACCGATTCAAACTGACACGTTAATGTCGGGAGCGTTGTGAGTCTCATACACATCAAGTCTTGGGAGCTTCGAAGAAATAAATTGCTGGATGGGATATTGGTTTATGTGTTAAATAATAGTTCTGCTTATTTGGCGTACGCCCGCATGTACTTGAGATGAGTTCTACGCATTGAACATGAGGGACTGAGATAGTACATGATTGGTATGAATTTGCAATATATAATTACCAGTAATTAAATGCAGTGATGATTACACCAATTTGAGCTTGTGTAGAACTCGGGACTAAGGTGTAAATAGTGCACTCATAATAGATAAGTCGTGAGCTGCAGCTGCATGATTGCTCAGTTGCACGCCATAGAAGGACTGATGCAATTACCTATTGGCTGTATCATTCGCTTATGTATGAGGGGGTTAGTAGGCGAGTTACGGTCGTCTAACTAATCGTGGACAAGTCTCAAGTTGTAAGTTTCAAGCAAGCCAGTGGTCTACTCGACTAACAACTTACCGGACTAATCAATAGCATCCGCTAAGTTTATAGTTAGAATTAATCTTTTATTTTGAAACGATCACAATATATTAAAAGGATTCATTCATTCTCTATATTCAAACGAAAATGGCCACTCCCACATCTAGGAGAAAATCGCATTTTGTGGCGCTACGTAATGACTGCAGCCACAATTGAAGTGTGGAATTTGTGGCGCAATATCCTGCAACACCCCGCCATTCGTCCAGACATGGTAGTGATCGACAGTTATATCCTGCTTTGAGATTCTGATGCATAATTACGTCAGAAGAGATTGGAGAGCTTAAGTTTATACACAATTCTCTACGACTTTCAATCAACTAGTATTTTACACTACTCTCTACTAGACTTAAACATTACCATGGGCTTATTCCGAAATAAAGACAAGACTCGCCTTGAACCACCTTCAGCGACACTCCCAGTTCCTTCAGACGATGAAAATAGGCTCTTGAACAATCGCAATAATGATTCTTTTAGAAGTAGCAACGTCTCGAGCGCAGATACTCGAGTAAATCAGGTTCAAAATCCAAACCCTGGAACCACAACGACAACTACAACGACAACTACCACTAGTGAGTATCTAAAACTAGATCTATTCAAAGACGAAACAAAAATCTGACATGGAGAAGCGACCACAACAGTCCGTAATGATGGTTCAACTCAAACTTACACTCACCCATATGACCCCTCAACCGACCCTCCTCCTGCATCAACAACCACCTACCAATCGAATGAGCCACCCGTCCCACCAATTGGAACTCCTCAGCCTACTCAAACACCAATACCTTCAGAAACAGAAAACACCCTCCGAAGAACAAGTACTGGTGGGGTCGTGTAATTCCAGAACGTTCACCACTTCGAAACTCCAATCCCGTTCCCCCTCTCGTGATAGACCATACTATGGATCCGAATTCCCCCAATCCCTCAAATATCACCGGCACCAACACCACTACTACAAATGCTCAAATGAATTCACAGGCCAACCATGATATTCACGATCAGAATCTAACATCAGACGCAAATACGACCAATCCACCAAGAATGCCAATTAACGAACAAACGCCAGGGAGTCCTACAAAACCCAACGTTAATTTCTCTCGTCCAGGAGGCAAACGAGAAAGTATTGCGAATGCTGCGAGAGGTATCCATGGAGCTGGAGAAGCACTTAGGGGAAGTGTAAACTCGGCAATTGCAGGAGGGCTTCGGGATCAAAAGGACCTCGAGCAGAATCGGGCAATTAAAGAGCAGGGAATGAGGGAATTTACGAATAGTGGGTTTAGAGAGAAGGCCGGGAATAGGCTGAGGAGGAGAAGTGGAGGGATTGCAAATGGGAATCAGGCTGGGGTTGTGGGAGGGAGAGTTTGAGGAAATTGCGTGGTTGATGAGATGGACTGTGGAAATAATGTTGCTGTAATGTGAACGGTATAAGTTTGTATCTATGGATTGGCGTTGAGGTTCTAGGCTGCGGGGTTGGGTGCGTATGAGGATATGCATTGCATAAGATTATATCCACTGTCTAAGTGCACTTTTAAGAATTAAAAATATCTGAATGTACCTATCAATCAATAATGACTTCGTGAATATGCTTGTATATTTTTGAGAATATTCTACATTTAAGTCTAATAATAGCAAGCTATACAGATTCACTTGCGTTATTGTGGCCCGTATCCAAGGGCTGTTTGCACATCAAATATTTTTATTCATTTGAAGCATTGCACAAATATGTTTAAAAAGGTATTTTTGGGGGGAAAATTGTACATATATATTACTTACCAAGTCTAGATGTTGTCTTGCATGATCAAAAGCACTTGCCATTTTCAGGGGTTTTTGTTTTCGAATTTATTATTATTTGGTAGCGACCGAAAAGAAAGGGGAGAAAAGAAAATTTGACTTACTTATGAATCTCCGTCTTTCTTCGGGACTCGAACCCCACGTTCCCATTCTCCCATCTTCGCAGCCCAATCTTCCGCCTTCGCTTTGAGCATCTTCTTCCTCTGTTGCCACCGCTCTTCCTCGGATCCAACAAAAATCTTATCCAAGTCTCCAGGCCCCATTCCCATTGCCTTTGCGCAAGGTGGACAGGGACAGGATTGATAGAGAGGCTGAAAAAGGACTTGAGGACAGGAGACTCGAGCTGTGAAAGTGAATTCGTGAGAAGTGATTTGAGCCTGCTGTGGTTGAGAGGATCGAAGAGTCAATCGTCGAGCTAATTTTCCTAAATTCTGTCCCATGCCTTTAAACGCGGAGCTGGCTGAGCGTTGAAGCTGTGCACCAGCATTTGAGATTGTGGAGCTGGGGGTGGAGGGTCGGCTGTCCTGGTTCCGCACGCATAGGTCTGAGTGATGGGTGAAGGTGGTGACTGTGTGGCCACAATGATAGTGGAAAGTTTGCGTTGCTTGACAGCTGGGAGTGGTGACTTCTTGTGCTGACATTTTGAGATTGGTTTCTTGGGTTAGTGGTTGGTGGTTGGTGTTGTTGGATCTAGGATCTTCTGGTTTTTATGGGAATTAAGACAGAATGGCAGGACGGAGAGCTATTTATCGTCATGACGAAGATTTGTTTCGAGCAAGAGGTTTGGAATAATGGCATTGTTCGTGGAAATGAGAACAGGTGTTCTGCTCTGTTGAGATGAAAACTATCACAGAACAACAACGAATGTGCGCTGTACTGTTCTAACAAACGAATCGAACCTTGGCCCGCTCTATTTCTTCGCCATTGGTTTTCTGTCTTTGATTTGAACATTGAAGGAAGAAACTAATATTATTTGACGACATACAAACACGGGCGAGACTTGGAATTCGAAGATTATGAGACAATGGCACTCTGAGGAAGACTGATTACCCACGTGAGGGGGCGGATGTCAGACCACATGGCGTATACACCACTAGTAGACGAACAAATTTCGAGGCAACATGCCTTTTGATGACATTAAGTATCCTAATCACATAGCTTTTAAACTTTTGCTCGGTCAACTGTTTAAATGCATTAACTACCTCAAAAACAGACTGAAAAGAAAGCTCACAGAAAATTACCATCATGCAATCACGAAATTACTCACATTTTTATTATACACATTATGTTCAAATAGGAAAATTGATTTTATTACTGTTCCCACTTGGGAATTCCTCATACTGACCTGAAGAAAATGATTTTAGGAAAGACAATTAAGAAATGACTATCTATCTGTCCGTCTATATATCTATACTCTAGAAAATGACTCAAGAAAAGTGACTGAAGGAGTGACTGTAGGAAATTTACTCAAGGAAATCGATATAAAGAGTGACTCTAAGAAAAACGAGAAGTTCTATACCAGCACAAAAGAAAACAACAGTAGAAACACTCCTCTGACTTACCTCTTCCTAACTCTAATCCTCAACCACAATAACAATTCTCCACCCCTCAGGAATATCGACTCTCAACTTCTCCCCCTTTCTCGGTTCTGGAACCCTGACTTCCTTTCTGTCATAATCGTAGCCATACTCTGGATCTCTATAGCTAGGTCTCGGGCGAGACTCATAGATTTTGGGTTCTTCATATCTGGAGCTTTTGCGGGGTTCGTGCTTGGAACGAGATTGATATCTTTCGTCTGGACCATTTTGTCTCTGTCTAAGACGATCTTTAAGACGTTCTTCTTCCTTTTCCTCCTCTCTTCGCAATCTGATGTGATCTAATTCTTCTTTAGCTCTCAAATTCTCCTCATGCTGTCTTCTGAGCCTTTCCTTTTTGAGTTCTTGTTTTGCTCGAAGATCCTCTCTAATTCTTTCTCGGTCTTCTCGTTCTTCTTCCATCTTACTTAATTTCTCAGCACGTGTAAAACTAGAGGATGAGTATGAGGATGAAGAAGATTTGTGAGAAGATTCGGGTTGATATCTTGGTCGTGTGGGAGGAGAAGATGGTGATCGGCCTCTGGGGCTGTAGTGTTGATACCGGGGTGGATCAGGAACATGAGGTCTGCGATATTCTTCGTTATCTCTGCGATGATCTTTTCTCTCAGGAGAAGGAGCTCTACGGCTATAGTGAGATCGCTGAGGTTCATCCCCCTGGGTAGCTCGAGCAGCGCGCTCAGCTCGCTTTCGGGCTCGATATTCTTCTGTTGGATCTGGATGAAAAACTGTTGGTCTGCGGTACTCTTCTCTTCCATAAGTAGCTTGTGGTTTGTTACCATCCCCATAAGGTTTGGAGCTCGATTTCCAATAAGCAGGCTCAGGAGATGGAGATCTCGCACGAGATCTCTCTTCATGTCTGTAATCATAATAAGGTTCCTGATAAGCTTCATACTTCTCAATCTCAGAATCAGAGTCAGAGTCAGACTCAGAGCTGGATTCTAAGCCAAGGGCAGCTAGCTTGTAGAAAGTTTCGGGACTAATTCTCTCGTCTTCGATTGATGGAGGTGGCTTTTCGCCATTGTCGGTGTTGTATACCGGAGCTTGGGCTTTATGTGACATGATGTCTCACTTTTGCTTGCTAGTATCTGTACCTATATAGATGTAAAATTGATGAGATTTTGGGGTTGGTTCGCGAGCTGGTTGCTGTGATATGTGTATCAGGAGACAGTGAAAGATGTAGAGGAAGACAAACAGGGGCAATGAAAAGCTTAAATACGTGACTGTTGTGAGTTGTTTCAGTGTTATCAGCCAACAATAAGATCCGAGATAAAGAATCACCACAGATATTGGTCCAAAATAGAATTGTGGAAGTAAAAGAATAAAGGAAGCAAAGTGTAAGAGACAAAGAAAAAATATCAAAAAGTTAATCCTCGGCAACCACCTGAATGCTCAACAGATTCACCAAGCAAGCATCTTCATCTCACACAGGGAATTATCTCAGGTCGCACGAAGGTTTAAAGTGTACTACTGAACCTCTCATATTGAAATGTATTGTATTAGACTAATTATCGGGTATCATTAATGTATTAAAAATGTTCTTTCCAATTCTACCGAAAAAAGAGGCTTTTTCCGAGTCCATCCATCCAACCATCCTATTCATCCATAGCTCTTTTGTTTCCAAACCCATTGCTCCACTTGCGAAACCCAGCATATTATACAAAATATATTTCCTCACTGCTCCGTTATTAATGTGAAATTCTTCAACTCACAACTTCTTCTTCTTTGCAATAAATAGGACTGTAACACTGTTTACAGCCAAAATAGCCATCTCACAGCCCCCACTGCACCTCTTCCAATCCCCATAACAACCCTGCACAACACAACCATAAACCAAACATACCACATTACTCCCACCAACGCCCATTCCACTAGAACCCATCCTCCCCTTCTCACCCATCTAAATCTTCTCCTCCTTCTCCGGATCATCTTATCCATGCTAGCCGTCAACTTGTTGACTTCCAATATCTGACTAGTGACCAGATCTTTGGAGACCTCATCCGCTTCATCGGCTGCCTTTCTTGCCATTGGAGTTAAATTATCCACCAAACGACTATGTAGAGCTCCCATTTCGTTCAGAAGCGTTTGAATAGTATTCATGGAGAAGTTTTCTTGAGATTTTTGCCATAATTGTGCTGAAAGTTGGATATCATCCCTAATGATGCTTGCTGCTAATATATGTTGTTGTGATCTTGGGACCGGAGAAAGAGACTTATTGGTGAGAGAAACTATACCTTTGTAGCAATTCCCCTGCGCAGTTCGAAAGTCTACTGATTCCGCGGCTTGACGTGTGAGGTACATTGACTTGATGCCAGATGAGTAGAGACGTGTTTTAACGTAGGCAATGTCTCGTCTTGTCAAGGGACCACGATGAGTTGATACCCCGCTATCAGAGTGGCTCCAACGACGATTTATATCGAGTGAGGGGCGTCTATTGTCATTCGCTGTGATGTGTGACAAGCCAGTTACTGGCATTGTATCGACCCTGCCAGGATATCCGAGTATGGCATTCAACCGAGCGTCCGCATTGCGAACACCTCGAGCATAACCTCCTTTGCGAGTTGAATTATCAGAGACATCGGAATCGTGTCGGTTTTCTCCTTCCGGAGATGATGCCGGTGAAACGCCGTCTATTTCGATTCTTGGGGGAGGTTCGAGTTTTGAACTAGATGGATTTTCAACATCCGAAGGTTCTGCTTCGATGACTGCTTCCTCTTTACGACTTTGTGTGGACCTTCCACGATTTTCCAAAGGCGACTTAAATGAAGGCATTTCATTAAGATAAGTTGGGATCGATTTATCATGTGGCACTTCCACATCGACTGATCTCGAGTCATAGCTATCTAGAAGAAGTGCCTTTTCATTTTCGCGCACCGGCGCGCGGAAATCTTCTATGTCGGATTCATCGGTTGAAGCAGTAGAACTGTTCCAATCCTTTTTCCATAAAAACTCGCTAACTCTAGCAACAGGTCCACGAGAGCCCTTGAACAATCCTCGGATGCCAGATGGTTCGTCACCTTTGCCTCTCCGTAGGCTTGTCTGTTTCTTCAAAGACTTTGCACTTTCATCTGTGTCTCTCGACGTGAGTTTCTTCGTGGGGCTCAAGGACCGATTACGGCCAATGAGAGCTTCAGGAATGTGTTCTCTAGGATCAATTCTTGAATCTATGGAACCAATAGAGTCTATCGATACACGAGATCTATCTGGTTCGTATTCACCACTGCGGTCTCTGCTATGCTCACGAAACGGATTAATCTTGGACCTGACTCGTGATAAGGCCCGTTTTCTGTTTGGCGATGACCGGCGACTACGAGGTGATGAGAGGTCTAGTCCAATACTAGGAACAAAATTAGATAACTTCGAGGCCCGTATTTGTGGGGAGTTGGGAGCAGTAGTATCAAGGCCATCCAAAGAGTTTCGAGGACTAACGCCCGGTACTTCGAGGCTTGGTCGTCCTGATGAGGTAGATATGAAAGGATGTCTTTTCTTGATAGGAGAATCTTTATTGATACCCTTCAGATCCGTCCTTCTTTGATGCAAACTTATACTCGAATCCGATTTTTCCCCGCTGTTGAGTACGGGGATAGTTGGCGTTTCAATAGCTGAAACGGAAACCTGTTTATCCAGCTTGTTGGGTGTCATCCAATTGGAATCGCCAGATTCCTTCGCAAGCATTTCCAACATCTGTTTTTCAAGAATGTCTTTACCGTGATCGTCTTGACTTTCGTTCGTCCCACTACGTCTCCGTTTTGAAAATCTTTTTATATGTTCACTATCGGAGGAATCGGAACTAGATCTACTCCTAGATCGTAAAAAGCGAGAACGCTCGCGGCTTACACTGTGGCTGCCATGTTGCGCATGGGCTGCGTCATGTAGTTTGTGCCGAACCTTGGAGGCTTTACTTTCCAGATGCTTATCTGAATCAACCTTAGAAGATCTGAATTCTGGAAGCTTAGTATCGATACGAAGGTCGACAGCCGAGTTCGATTTCTTGTGATGGGAGCGATCTGGCGATTTAAGCATGTCAAAGTCGTCTGGTTTGCGTGGTATAGATTGCCTAGGCTCAGGATTTCGAGGAAATATCGGTCTCCCATTTCGATCTTCAATCAGTGTCTTATTGTCACCCTGTTCCATCCAGAAGATGTCTGCAAGCATATCTGCAGGACTAGTAGCCCAGTCAATTCTGGGTCTTGCCAATTTAAGGGCGCTTTGATTCTTACTCCCCGCGGACTGAGGTGATGTATGGGGCGAATGGCCTTCTTCTATAGCTTTTGAGAATGGCGGTAGTGCTACATGATTTCCGTTGACAAAACTGTCACTTAAAGCAGCCTTCGAAACTTCATCTACCCACCATGAAACCTTGTGAACATTTCCGAATTCTTGTGCTTCTCCATCAATGGAAATCCGAGCTCGAGCACGCACTTTTCTATTCCTGATATACTGCAAAGGATTATATTGCCTGCCGAATATGCGATGAGGTTGTTCAGACGTCGAGCCTGGACTGCTGTGCTGATTCTTCTCCACAGATCCGGCCTTCAATGGAGGGACATATTGTAACAATCGCCGGTATTGGGCCATGAGCTCAATTGCCTTTTTAGCCTTTTCTGCTCTTGCCAATGTGGATGAAGAGAATTGGTATTGGTAGGCAGTTTCGGATGCATCTAAAGTTATTGGTAAAGGGCCAATTTTTATTCCCGATGAAAGGCGTGGAGAACCTGTAAGTGCCCTATCAATTCTGTCAGGCTTCGGTGAGATGTTTCTGGACACTCTCCTTTGCTGCTGTAAATGGTGACGTAGACTACCTCCTGCCATCTCATCTCTAAATCCTACAGCATTCGAGGGCAATGGTGTAGAAGCATTACGTCTCGATGCGATTCTTCTACTTTCACTAAGATTCAGGGCCAGATTGACGATCTGGGCAGAATCAACATCAAGCCCGCTTGTAGCAGTCTTTTCGGACGCATTTGTACCTCGCCCATGATCACTGTGCGGCGTCGTATTTTCATCAACTATATCTTCCTCTTCTATGTCATGGGCCGTGGGAGCGCTCGCCACATTGGAAGCCAGGGGGCTTCCTGCTATAGTACCATTACGCGATTGTCTCTTGCTCTGCTTTTTGTCCGCTGATTTGCCTTTCACATCGTGAAGAAATCCCCGATTGCGAGGTTGTTGTTCTGCCGTGGCCGTAGATGAGCTCTCTGCATTGCGATGGAATAGAGAATTTGATAATAGAAATCCTCCACTACTTCGACTCTTGTTGTGGGCCCTATGGTTGCTTCTCCCGTCCTTTCTACTTCTGTCCTCTATGCCTCCATCCAATCCACCCTGTTGTTCACTGCCTTCTTCGTTCAAGGTACTTGTCGCAAAGCTATTTCGATTACTAACTGCCGTGCTAGATTCGCCCGTCTCACTGCTGTCATTGCTATAGCGTTGGGTTGAACTCGAATATGTGCTTGAAGTCGTTCGGCGTTCGATCGGTGAAGTGCTAGAACTATTTCTTGTCGTGACGTCGAGAGGAGGATAAGATGTCATGTTTTTCTCCCGGCCTAGCTATCCGTAGGTATATGCAGTAGCATCCAAGTTATGAGAATAATTGCTATCGCATGTTGGAAAATAGAAAGTAGAAGAGGTTGCCCGATAGCTGTGTTATTTGAAAGTTGTACTTTCTGTTTTACAATCAGCAGATTAAGCTTTCACATGCCGGGAGAGATGATGATCCACAGCCATAGTGTGTACATTCGGTAGTTCTGACGCGAATTTGCTTTTACTGTTTCTGAAACCCGACCATGCCAAAAAAGTCATAAAGAGACCCTGTATTTAAGTCTTTTCAGGCACTGGGTACCTATCACATGATCAGTCATCAAAAAGCATATAAAATAAAAAAGTTTCACAAAGTCACAAAGAAAGTCACAAAAAATCACAAGAAGCCACACAGATTTGTGTTTAACATTCATGATGATAAAAGAAAGATTGGCTAGTCTAATATTCACAGGTATAACCACAGTAATAAACCCCCAAATGCAGGTTGAAACTCCTTGTCCAAGCCATGAACGCCATACTTTTCTCAGCTACAGTGACCACCATTATTCTCTTACTCTCTTGGAGCTGCTTTTCCAGACTTCTCAATCTTTCTCCTCTTTGCTCTTAATGCCTCTGCCTCTGCGTCTTTCTTTTTATTACTATAAACCATCTTCTCTAGAATCTTCCTCTTCTTTCTGCTCATCATCATCTTAGATCTCTCCAACTCCTCGTCTTCTTCTTTCGCTTTCTTGGCGGCCTTCTTCTTAGCATCCGTCTTAGCTTTAACTCTCGGGTCAACTTCCTTTTCTTGTAAGGCCACACCAGATAACTCAGCCTCAAGTTCTCGTTGACGACGAAGAGCAGTGGTCTCTTCTTCATCTTCGCTGTCTTCGGCTTCAGAGAATCCACCAAAAGACTCATCGACCTTATCAAGAGCCTCATCTGATTCATCATCAGATCCAGCAACATCCATACCCTCAGCAGTCTCATCGACGTCCATAGCTGTAACCAGATCCTGTTTCTTAACAGCTGCCTCTTCATCGGAGACATCTGCCTCATCTTCGCTACCGCTATCCATTTCGAGTTCCTCGTCCTCCCTTTCTTGATCTTCAAGTGGGGCAGATGGATCATACTGACCACGTACTTTCTTAACAAAGGGACTCAAATGTGGAGGCAATTGTGCACCGGGTGCATATAGATCCGGTCTTTTGAGCTCCTCATCGTTGATACAATCCCAAATCCATTGTGGTTGAATATAAATGCGACCAGGGACTCGAGCTCCAGGCCTCAAACGCTGTGCCGTTTGGTTGTCTTCCTTGACTTCCTCATCTTCCTCAGGTTGGACCTGTACGGGTGGGCGATCAACCACTTGGTGGGTAATCGATGGGTCTGATTCATTATGAGTGAAAGCACCCTCTCCAAGGACTGCATCCCAACCAATACGCTTGCAGCCAAATGCCCGAAGAATGAACTCGAGAGGTTGGCGAGGGGTCTCTCTTGATAAAAAGAAAGTAAACTTTGAGAACAAAGTCGATGGATCGGTGGCAGAATAAGAAGGTTGCATAAGTATATCACCACCTGGTGCAGCTGGCTCGAATTTATCAATGGTCTCAGTTGCTTGCTCTTCATCTTCGCCATCAGGTGAAGTTTTGGTTGTCTCCTCGGCCTCCTTCTCTGGTGCATTGAGTTGAAGCATCAGTTTGTCAATCTCTGCTTGGAGTTTAGGATCGGGCTTTGCATCGCCATTGGTGATCTGCTTTGGTTGCTCAATAGCACCAATACCATTTCCTTCCAATGAGAATGCTCCTAGACCTGCATCTTGATCATCTCTAGCCGCATCGAATTTTGGTGGGTATACCAATCCAACAGAAGTGTAGAGGCGGAAATTGACGAATCCTAGCAAAGTCTGGTAGAACTCGACGAAGGTACCCATGATTCGAAAGTCCACATCACCAGTGACTCTTTGGTTGAATCTATAAGGCACTAACCACAAAATATCTTGTCCTTGTATCGTTGCCTGGTAGTAAATTCCTTTGATAGATAAGAATGACTTGCGCAAGCTATTTGAGACGATTAAATAATGTTCGAATTCCAAACATAACTTCTCGCATCTCGCAATCATCTTTGCAGGAACAGTTGAGGTCGAGGGTAAATTTGCAAATAAGAAAAGCATTGACAAACAATCGTCAAGATCTCGTAGCGCATCGATGAATGTAGGATATCTTTCTCGGATGATGTGATCCAAGTTGTATTTAGTCTTTCCAGTCTTCTCCGGTCTGGATGCATTGCGTTCAAGTCTCGCAGCGTCGCTTGCATCTCCTCGTCCTAAAGCTTTCGAGATTTTCTTCTCTAAAGCTTTCTGCTCACGGAAAGCATCGACAATCTTCTCATGCAATAGCCATTGGATATCTTTTGTGTAGTAAAAGGTGGTAGAATGTGTCGAGGATTTCGATGCCTTCTTCTTATTTCTTGGTTCTCGAGGATAAATTCCTTTCCAGATACACAACTTACGAAAGTCAGGTAGACTGTTTAAGCCAAAGAATTAGTACTATTGTTAAACATATAAGTAGAAGTGAAGCAACAATGCGACTGAAGGAATTGGGGAAAGGACTTTTTCAATACTACAATGTATATGAATATGTACTTACGAAATTTGTAATTTTCTGACTGCCTGAGTTCTAGTAATGAAGTTCTTGGCTTGACCAGAAGTTCCCTTCTTCTTAATTCTTCCCATTGTTGCTGTTGCGATTGAGATCGAGATGAGAATGGAGATAGTATCGTGGGGGGGTTTCTCAGTCGTGCTGATAAAAAAGTTCCCAGAGAACTTTTTTTTTATTTCTCCAAAGCTTCTCAATCCGCTGATTAACAGAAGAACTCTTTGCTTATTGGATAGACCATCTCACCGCCTTACACGGACCACCCGACCCTAGAACAACAGAACATCAAAACAAATCTATTGGTTGATAATGAATTGAAGTACATAAGATGGTTACTGCATTGAGTGAGTGAGGGAATGGGCTAATAAGATGAGAAAGGGAGTTGATTTGATGATTGAGCTTCATTCTTTTGCTCAACAACTTCATATTAGCTCACGACCATCATGAGTATCGATAGGAGGAAGGCAGCTCTTTTTGGTGCAGCAGCAGCTGTTCGACTGTTACTATTTGCATCTTTCCCGGGCCTCCCAGACTTGTTGACAGCGAGAGTCGAGATCTCTACACCAGTGACAAGCTTCAAGAGATGTATATGTTCCCATACATAGACACAAGCATTGAATCGGCGACTAACTTCTTATAGTACAAGAGGGTCTCTTTCTTTATAATCACAATGTCTCCCCATACGATGGTGGTGTCTATCATCAGGCACCGTTATTCCTCCCTCTCTTCTCTCTCCTCCCGAGCTCTTCGATGTATCCCGCATTCACATACCTACTATACACACTGGTCGATCTTGCCAGCGCAAATGCTTTAATTAATATAGCAGAGTCTGGGGAGGCAGGAAATTCGAGGCTCTTCACATCACCTAGAAAGGATAAACGGTGGACCAGCTTCGCCATTGCTGCTGCCTTTCTTTTCAACCCATTCACCATTGCAACATGCATTGGCCGTCCAACAAGCATATTCACAACTTATGCTATATTATATGCCATTTCAAAAGCATTAATTGGCGCATCTTATACCTCGATGTTCGCCATAGCATTCGCAGCGTACCTGTCTATGTATCCCATACTTCTTTTCCCTCCTCTGGCCCTGCTATGCTATGACCGTCAACGTCCTAGTAAGCGTCAGGAGTCTTTACCATTGTTCATTGGCACCAACGCCATAGCTGTCTGTGGTTACTTATACTCCCTTCTTCACATGTCGTACATAATCACAGGGTCTTGGGAATTTCTATCATCAACTTATGGTGTCCAACTTCTTCTTCCAGACCTCACGCCCAATGTTGGACTGTGGTGGTATTTCTTCATTGAAATGTTTGACTCTTTTAGGTCATTCTTCCTCGGTGTATTCTGGCTCCACCTCTCATCATATGTCGGGGCCTTACCATTCGCGTACGACGTCAGCCTCTTTTTGTGCTCACAATACTCCTTGGAATCTTTGCGATTTTTAAACCATATCCGTCAATATCAGATACCTCTCTATTCTTAGGAATGCTGCCAGTCTACAGCCACCTTTTCCCATTAATGCGATATTCTTTCCTAGCCTCTTCTACAGTTCTATATGCAACATTATTGGGACCTGCCTTTTACTATCTATGGATTTATGCTGGAAGTGGAAATGCCAATTTTTTCTACGCAATTACACTCGTATGGAGCCTTGGCTGGAGTGTCCTGGTGGTTGCAGATTTACTTTATGCAGTTCTCAGGGACGAATGGGAAGTTGAACGACCGGAAATGAAGGGTAAAGAGGTCAGGCAAATATAAGTATGATATAAAGCAATCAGATCAGATCGCATCCATCATCGATATTTCTTTGGTACAATGCGTCATGTCGTGATTCTTATGAAGCTATGTACAATAAGGCATCGGTTCTACTACGCCATTACAAACTTCCAAAATATACCCATGACGATGAAGGCTAAGAAATTCAAAGCCTGCCGAAGATCTCATACCAGAACCTATGATACATGGCCTCTATTATATGCCTAAAATGACGATGTATGTGCAGAAGCATCTCTCCGTATAATCAATCCAATGCAATCTTTATCCTTACATTATTCTACCGGCGACATTCCCAATTTTGCGTTCTGAACCTCAGTCACATCTTTTCCCATCCTTTCTCCTCCCTGCGCTCTCTCTTCTCCTGGTCATTTTGCTTCTTTTCCTGGGCCTTCCGACGTTTTTCTTTTGCCTTTATTTCTATCTTATTCTCCTTTGCTTTCCTTCGCGCATTGCTATTTTTTCTCCGTTCCTCGTCATAGTGCACATCCAGTTGGGCCCTCATCCTCGCATCTTCGGCCTTTGCTCTTGCGACACCATTTGCTATGGTCTTGCGTCTTAGTCTCTCTCGCGCTCTTCTCTCCTCCCTTTCCAATTTACTTTCCAATTTCATTCGTGATTTGATCTCAATCCCAAAGGCGCGTATGGCATTGTAGATACGTTGCTTAATTGACACCTCTGGCGCAGTGACATTGGTATTGGCATTGATGTTGGAGTTGGTGGGTGCCAGTGAATCAGGAGCAACGCTGTCAATGCCGGACTCGGAGGGTCCCAGTGAATCAGGAGCAACGCTGTCAATGCCGCAGTCGAAGCGCGAGGGAGAAGCAAGAGTCCGACGTACCGAATGGTTTTTATTTTCAGTATTAAAAGGATCCGGGTTCGTCCATTTAAACGAGGGTTTGGAAGACTAAAGAGAGGTCAGTGACAAGACAATGCCCGAAGGCAACTGCGGAGATACCTTATTTGATTGGGCCGGACATTCTTTGGGAACTGGTGAGAGTTCGGGTAGTTGAGTTTGGGTCTGAGAGGAGTTCACGGCAATGACTTGACGTCGATTTTGATTCGAGAGAGATTGAGGATTTGAGTTTGCAGAGGGTTGTGGGTTACCGTTGTGAGGAAGTCGAGGGATCCGATTGGGGGTGGTCATGGTCGCGGCAAAAATCTTAAAATCCTTGAGCGCCGAGTATACTTCGAATGATCAGTAGAGGTCTACAAATTGTGGTAGAGGTTTCAAGATGCAGATGGAAAATCTATGATGTACCATGATATACTGAGGATATAGGTCTAGACTACACTATACCCAGTACGGTACTTGAGAATGAAACTACGAGGTTACTAAAGCTTAGTGGACGATCCCTCGAAGAATACCAAGAGCAAAAATTGTTCTGCTGGTGTCTATGGCTATACATGGTCGAGGATTAAACACAGATTCTATTAATTAGCTTTGAAATTTCATAAAACTGTTGTAGCTCTTAGATACAACGAATGTGACTGGACAAACTATAGTAGATTAAGATTGAGCGGTTCAAAGTTTGTACCTCTCTGACGTGCACATCAATTGCAAATAGCATATGTGTACACATATCGTAGTACTAACTCAGTCAAAAGTAGCAGTATTGGAAAATTAGAATGACGATATGATAGTCTGGAGCTAATAAATCATTTAGCCACCTCTGTGCAGCCATTATGATGTTTGCTTTTCTTTGAGAGAGAGTTGAACATTTGATGTAATTTTGACCTGTCGACTGCGGTTATGGAAAGTGTTGTGAAATCAAATACGGTAAGCGGTAAGCACCTTTTTTGCCTAACGCCGAATCAACTTTTTTCTGTCCATTTTCCAAAGCATTCACAAGATCTTCGAAACAATGTTCATTGCATGAATTTTCACGATGTCGTCGCCAACAAACTCGACATTTACGAATTCTTCTCCACCCCGCGAAAACCGCTGGAATGGACCAGCTTCAACATGGCAACAACTCACAGAAGAAGAACGTGGTTTGGCGGCCTCGCTGGATGAACTTCGGAATAGAGATTTGAGCCTTCACTTATATAATGCTTTCGCATTGAAAAAGCGAGCCAAAGATTTCAATGCTCATGGAACTGTTCATGGGGAAGATGAGGATCAAGATGACTCAAATGGATTTGCACCTTCCAAAAAGTGGACTGCATGGCCAATTGAAGCGACGGAGGTCCCAAGGGAAGGCGAGCAGATAGGCCCGGATGATAGTGATGAAGTTTTTACTCTGAGAAGAAAGGAGTTTACAAAACTGAGTAGGGACTTGGAAGATGAATTGATCGGGGTCACATTAAAGTATTCAAGAGAGAAATTTTTGCAACGGGAGACCGCCGAGGACCACGAAAAACAAGTCGAAAATAGTGTTACAGAGGAAATGAATATTGATGAACGGCAACAAGAGCAGTCGGAAGATCCCGAGATTGGAGAAGATGGTGTTAGAAAATCATCGGAGCCACCTGTAATCACAACTATTCTCCGGCCCGAGATATCAGCTGATGACGAGCGTTCCCGAGAAATATTGCGCCCATCAATCAGGCATACCCTTTCGAAATTGGATGATATCTTGATGGCTTTGCACCATGCGCGAAAAACCTGCCGACAGTATGCCGCTCAAGCTGAGTTCGATACGGATGTGGAGTCTCGTTCACGTGCAACTAGCATAGCAGGTGATGCTACAGATAGAGATTCGCCTGTTAAAAAGCCAGTGGGTCGGCCACGCAAACTTCAATCCATTGATCCTGCAACCGTCCCTCTGTTTACCCCAAATGAAAATGGCCTTGACGATCCCGAACTTTGGCGAGTAAAGAAAACTCATCGAGGACGACCGAAGAAAATTTATGAGAGATTAGAGGGCGAAACCCAGCATGAATATCTCACTCGGATTGCCAGAATTCAGAAGAAACCCCTGCCAATTTTCGCTCCACCAATAGCGCCAAGTACGCCTAAGCGTGAAAGAACACCCGCCTCTGTGTCTCCTCAAAAATCGCCTAGAAAGCTTTCAGAAAAGAAACGCAAGCAGATGCTAGGTCTCAGGGATTGGAGCGAGGTACTAGGATCTGCTGCATTAGTTGGATTCTCGCCGAATGTCATTGCTAGGGCTACGCAAAGATGTGCGGATCTTTTTGGGGAGAATATGATAATGAGGACAATGGTTGAGGGTCCTGTTGTAGGAGGAAAGGACGATAAAGTAACAGAATATTACCCAGGAATGATTCCCGATCTTGATGAATCTGAAGAATCCGGAGCGTCTCTCGATGAAGATGAAGACGCATCGTCGGATTCAGCTTCCGATACGGAAAACGCGGATAGCAAAGGTCGTCCTCCCATGAAGCGAAATGCTTCACGTATTGACAGCGATGAAGAGATGAATGGAGCAGTACATACTGATAGATTTCTCAAGCCGCTCACCGGGAAGAGAGGATGGCGGGGTATCGATAAGGAGAAGAGAAAACGAAGCAAATCGGGGGTGGAAATGGGAGACCGGGAACAAGTATCTGATGAGGAGGGGGAGGGTGAAGCGTCGGGTTCATACTCAGAATCGGACCTGGAAATGCAGGAAGAGGTCGAGGGCGGAGATTATGGTAGCGAACATTGAGATGCTATCGTCGTTATGTTCATGGAAATTTTCTTCCATCAAAATTCCATTCAGGGTGAAGAGGGTGATAGTAGATTTCCACGTGTTTCATAGCGAAGTTTTCAAAGGATTGTCGTAAATTCTCGACACATGAAATTCCGTGCGTATTTGTCTTCCTTATTGTGCAGAGTGGGACTCAACGATATTGAGTGTTTTGACTTGAAGTCGGCAATGTTATCCAATGTCTCTCTCCGAGGGAATACCTCGTTTTACATTACACCGGATTTAGGGGTCTGGACTTCTCGGTATTGACATTGAATCATTTCGCAAAATATAAGGCTTTTTTAAAAGACGTCATCAGAAATTTATCACTGCGCTCATGTGAACAGTCATACAATATTTTAGAGCTCATTAGACATCATATTTCGAGCCCGTTCTTTCCAAATTATATCATAGAATAGAATAGAAGAGCCAATAATAATATCCCAAATTCCCGCTAAGTAACACAGCAAAAGCAAAGCAAACAGAAAGGTATCTTCGCAAATTAAACAAATCATTCACTCGTCTGAGTGATAACGGTCGTCTTATATCCACTCGCCCAATCAATCGTATCCCCACCTCTACTTCCTGTCTCACTACTTTCTCCGATCGAGCGACTGCTCTCTCCTTTTTGGTACCCTGCACTCAGAACACTGACTTCTATTGAATCATCCGACTCTTCTGCTTTCCATGCCGCCTGTAGTCGTTCTCTTTCTAAATCATCCTTCCGCACGATTTTCTTATCCGCGTATACGTATGTTCGAACGCCACAAGTGTCGTCTAGACCCAGCATTGCAGCGAATTGTTTCGAATATTCGTCATCAGAATCGACAAGGGTTTCCTGGGAGGTTTTGGCAGCGGTGGCCGACTTATCAGAGTAGATACTAAAGGCTTTCTTTTGACGGGTACTGAAGAGAGGTCGAAGCGTAGCAAAAGACGCGGCAGTTAAGGCGATGGCGGGTTCAATGATTGACCATTTAACTAGATTGATTCCTTCCCAGGTGTAGTCGGCGGTTTGGTTAAGTTTATTGATGTAGTATATGCGGACTATTGTTGCTGTACTTGCACTATAGGTATGTTAGTAAATCGTTATATACGCACGTTGGCGAAACTTACAAGAAACCGAGAGATAGAATAAGAACAACTGAAAGCTTTGTGCGCGGATTCATCTTTATCTTCCAGACAAATGTAATTGGTAGAATACCATAAGCCCAGTCCGTTAGAGCACTCATGGCGGCATGTGCATAGGTAACGTTAGCTCGAGTTGATGTGCTCAAACAAAATCCGCTACCATCGTCGAACATATTCCAGAAATACGATATTGGTTGACATTGCAACAGTACGAATATAAAGTAAGCCATGCTGACTAGAACTGCAATAGCCATAACACCATAGATAATCCAAAATTGATATCTTTTATTGGCAAGTCGTAGAAAATAGACCCCAATGGAAACTTTTGTAATAGCCATGGTGATGACATAGAGAAGTTCACTCGCAAATATGTACTGAAAATGGTGAGCTGAATATCCAATTTTATTCTTCAAATACACACACCTTAGCAAGCTCATCCAGATAACCTGAATTGATATTGTATATATGAGCACCGAGTCCAAATGCAAGTGACCGTAATAAAAGTCCACACAAAGTAGTGTGTATAGTCTAAGATCCATAATGTTAACATTGATCCTCATATATCATAACAATATACATACTATAGAAGCAATAGTCAACCAATCCTCGGGTCCAAAGAATTTTTGAATTCCAATTCTGACATAAAATCGAAGTACACAGGCAATCCACGGTAGGGCTAGAGCGGCACAGGCAACACCCGTCACCTGGGCTCCTCGATTAACACCGAGAACATTGTCATCACGAGAGACGAGATCCATCATTGTGACTGAGACCATGGTTTGTCGACGAAGTGTTGCTCATGAGGAGAGAAGGAAAAGCAATCATTGATCATCAACAGAAACGTGAGGATGACGTTAAGGAATTGGCTTTCCAGATACTAAAATCTGCAAGCCACTGATATATATGAAGATGGAAACAGAGAGATTTCAGGCAGGTGGACATGGATTATGACGCTTCTTAATAGTTCCCTGTATCGACAATTTCACGGCAAGAGCGAGTCTAGCGCCTGCGAAAGAGGTCTAAAATAGGTCTCTCTTCAAGCTACGCGAGAACCTTGTGAATCGTATCTACGATGCACCTACGAGATACGATTTTATGAGCTACTTGGTGGATAGTTTTCTACGCTAAATTTTTTGAATGGGGTGCCCGGTTGTGACAAATTTCAACTTTGCGGAGGATCTGCTTTCGGTTAATGGGAGAGGGTCAAAACTCGAGTGTTGATATGTCAACTCCGACACGACTGGAATTCACGAATGCTGTATAAATGCAACGATTGTTTGCTTTCCTATAACCAACTACGAGTAGGCTGGCTGACCGACTGTAAAGTACAATTGCGCCTCGTTCTAATATATAATACTTTGTGAAATATATTTCACGAAGCTTTTTTAAAATTGCTCTTCAGCAAGCTCGTAAATGATTCGCTGTCGGTAGTCGGCTAAACCGCCAATTTTAGTTCAGACTAATTACACCCTATACATACATTTTTTTATGCGCCTAAGAATATGTCTACTCCGTATGACCTTGTCGTTCGTCTCTAACTCGTGGCTACCAATGAATATCGAGCTCTCGGAGATATAGATAAGTTAGTAAGATCGGAACTGCGATTGGACTATTGACTAGTACCATTTAGTTCGTCCGAACACTCTGATCCCCACCAGGCTAACACCTTGCGATCCAGAAGGGTTCGGATTCCTGAACAACAAAGCTGAATTTCAATAGCGGTCGGCTTACACAATGGGGAAATGTAACCGATCTTTTCGTCCGAGGTATTTTTTGTTCGAATGCTAGGCTTTGTATTGGACAATGCGGATTTCAACGGAAGTGAACAAGATTAACGTCCACATATGATATTGCGGGAAGATCAAGACAATGCATAACATGCTAGGAGACTTCAGCCCGAAAACTTCAGTTCATGTTTATCGATTTTACACGTGCAAGTCAAGGGATAATCAGCGCACAGCATCAATGTGATGAGACATCGCAGTCCCTATTATCTCGTTTATTTCGTTTAATCCTTTCCCATCGCTCGGACCGAACTGGTGATCAGAGCTTGCTGTCAGTGCAGCGGTGAGTTCATATGTCAATGCCATCAGGTATACCATAACGATTAGATCAATCTCAATATAGAAGTGTAGTCTGATTCTCCGTGGCTGAGGGTTTGGTGAAAGGTTAGTCTGGAGGCATGGGGACTATGTTATGGGCTCTACATGAAATCTTGGTTGATTGACAAATGTTTTACGCATCGTCTTTGGAGGGGGTTGGAGCGGTATCTCACGAGGTGTGGGAGGCAATTTTGACAATTTTGTCGAAGTTGGCTGCTCGCAATGAGAAAAGCATCTTCTCGTTGTCTGATTGAACTTTTCATTCTTCTACAGATCCCGAGAAATTTTGGTCCAATTTCAATTTAGAAAGGGAATTTGTTGACAATCGCACTGGAAATGGCGGACGGCAAGTACTAAGAAGCGTTGAGACAATCACTCATGAAATTTATCACAACCAGGGATCAAATGTGGATAAACACCATTCTTTGGTGAAGAGAACAGCGAAAAAGGCTCCTGGACATCTAAATTAATATAGAGTGCAGACCGATTATTAAATACAAGACGAATAAGCAAGCTCTATTATAATTACCACTCTCAAGTTCTGAACTGTATCGCTTCTACTCCCTTTGCCAAAAGATGCTATATCTAACTATCAAAACTCACAGCTACATCTATGGCACACTGAACATCCTCGTGATATAATAAGTATGCAAACACATTACAACCCTTTCGTTAAGACGTCAAGAATCAAACAGCTGACTAGCCATACCTAAAACCCCCATGATGCGGTGGAGGATAGCTATAAAGGCTCGGTGGTCTTCCCGTATCACTACTAACCTCGCTATCATAATGAACTGGACGATAATGACGTTCACGTCCATGACTCCGATGTCTCCCATGGTGCCCGCTTCTCTTGTCATAGATTCTTCTCACAGATGGCGCATACATGGAACTTATACTTGAGTCCGAATCCGAATCCGAGTAAGAAGAAGTCAGACTTCCATGACCATCTCGCAAATATTCGCGATGACGATGATGCACCCTTGGTTTTTTCTCAGGAGGTGGATCATTATCCGCTTCATTTCTCTCCCGATAATTTCCCACAAAATCGCTATCGGTGACAATACTTTCTTCGTCTTCTTTCCTTTCTGGCGCGTAAGGATTTTCGGGATTATCGTCTTTGATACGATGCTTCTTGTCGTCTCGTTTGGTTTTATATCGGTTTCTCTTTAGTAGTCTGTTCATTGCTTCCTTTGCTTCCTTTGCTGCCTTGTCAGCAGCTTCTGCTTCTGCTTTTTTCTTTCTAGATACGTCGTTCTGGAGTGTCATGGGCTCAGGTTGAATAATATTTTCATCGTGGTCAAACGGACCTTTTTGCCCATTCTCATCATCTTCCGGTACATACTGATTGATTCTGATTGCCGCTTTTTTGATAAGATTTTTACCTGTGCGTGCGACCTTTACCATCTTCGAAGACTGCCCGGGTTCCCTTTTTCGGTATGGGAAATCCTCTCTATCGGGAAATGTTTTGCGGAGGAACAAATATTCTTCGAGCAATGCGGAACTTTCTGGCCATTCAATTATAGGATCGGGTTTACCGTCGCGGCCCATGTTTGTGCAACATTTGGAGATAATTTGACTTATCCAGTACAAATGCTTCTCTTTACATTTCGTGGGCTTTTCACTTTCTACTTCGGCGACAATTTCTTTGAAGCGATGGTAATGGTTACCTTTGCGGATACGACCCTGTGAAGTTCGGAAGTTAGTAACCTTCTACCAAGAAGTAGCATAATAGAAGAAGAGACAGAATCCAAAGCGACAATGTGAAGTGAAAAGACGCCCTGAAGGCTGCATCCAAGTGAGGCTTAAGGCTTGGAAGAAGTTAGATGTAGGGGAGTGTGAGAAACTTACGATCTGCACAGCGCGGCCTGGCAGGTTTCGATGATGACGTCGAATAATCTCTGGCGGCTCAGTTGAGCGGGAGAAATATTGAAAATGATTATATTTATGCCTGACTGCTTTTCGTATCCCCTTTTTAGGTGTGATGTCTAAGGTAAGAGCTTGAAATATGACGTTAGAGAGAATTTCGCATGCATTTCCCCACAAAACGTAATGAGTTCGAGCCATAATCAAAAAGAAATCTTACTACAACAAGGGAATCGATACCAATTGAGCCTTGGCGATAGGAGATCCGTTTTTCTCAAATGTGATTAAAGAAAGTCACGAGTCTGTAAGACGACGAAAAGTAGAACTGCAAGAATGTATGCTAAATGGCTAGGGAAAAAATGTTTTGGTAGGCACCTGGTGGCAAAGTTCTTATTCTCTTTGGCCAAAAACTAATATGTCGCGTACAACGACATATAGGTCAAGTTTTCATGTTTACTTCGACCGTAGGGACATCCTCACCCAAAGACTATTTTTATCCGGAGAAAAAAGGAAACCAATAAATGTCGATACTATGTCATATAGGCTGTTGAATCAACCTTATTACCAGGTGGCGTGGAAAACTTTCCCCTGGTTCGACCTGATGAATAACCGCTCAGTACAGATTACGGGGAAAGCTTTTGACATGAAATTCAAGGTAAAACCAACATAATGTAAAAACCCTAAAATCAGATTGGACAAGAAACGATGACCTCAAAATTGGCCGAGACAGTTGGCCAGGACCTTGAGTGTTGGACAAAAAAGAAGCTGTAGGTGCTTGAACTCCGGCTTACAATCGGGAATAATCAACTAACTACGACCACAGGCTCCTTATGGTTTGGAATCGAGATATGGGATAACTTAGAAGAACCTCGATTATGGCGAGACAATTCAAGAAATCCGACAATCTTCAAACAGGACCACCTCCGCACTAGAAAGGTGTCAATGTCGTACGACCCGAAACTCCTAGGATTCAAGAAAGATCATTCGATTCTTATGGAGTAAAAAGTGGAGGCAAAGTTTTAGGGTCATATTGAAAGCAAATGGTTCATAAGAGAACGTATTAGAATGATGAAAATCCAGTGAACGAACGAATATTCTACAAATCACACCACGGCAGCAAGCCTGTTGCTGCAACTGAGCTCCAAGACACCTCCAACGCCGCCAAACATCCCATGTTATTTTCCTCTGCCTATGATCCGCAAGACCCAAACTCCGTTTACCAAATGACAAATCATGCCCAATTTCCCAATCTTCTAGTCACATCGCCATCCCAGGAGCCTGTAATCGGCTCGCGCTTATCCAGTCAAAGCTACGGTTATCGTATATTGGCGAGCAGCATTGATCTACCCGCCTTGAGGCATTCTGTAATTGTGTAGACATTGAGAGGGGGTTGGGTCGTTGCAAGACTCCCCTAGCAAAAAGTGATTCTACCACACTATTGGTCCATTCTTGATAATGGCGAAGAGAATTTGCGGGGTCGATTTTTGGTGGTCCTGCAGTGATAGAATCGCAGATGGCGCGAATTTGCGAGTATTGAGATACCGATACCGTGCCGATGAATCTGCTGGCATTGTTCGGACGTTTGATCTCTTTGTGGGAATGGATCATGCCGTTTTGCATGTCGCCGATTACTTGGTAGAGATGACCGCTGTCGCTTCCTTGTTCATCAGTCTGAACGAAGATACCTCGTGAGATACCAAGGAAGTCGACCATGTAGACATTGAAAGACATTTTGAATTTAAGTTGAGAGTACAATTGTGGAATATAATACGATGTTAAACTCTGAGGCTAATGACGATAATGAGATAAGTGCTGGTACAGATGAGAATGAGATTGAATTCAGCTGAAGGAAAGTACGAGTCTCTCATATATAATTGCACATTAGATTGAACTGCTTCTTTACAGGTAGCATTGTGGTTAGCACTTCCAATCCTAGCAAAGGCAGTCAAGTCTATCTAGAGGTCCCAATCCTGGCGCGAATTCTCTAGGGTTGTAAAGACGGTCCAAATGCCAAGGAGGTACTACCCCCATATCACTTACCTAAAAAACGGCATGGTATTCGACGATCAAATAGATCTTCTCTAAAAATAGGCGCCGACATCTTGTGAGCAATAAAGTCGCCCCATAAATCACATGATTTAAAGCCAATCGAGGTGCTTTGATGAGGTCGCAAAATTACCTCAGCGAGTCGGAAACAAGATAGGATTCTATTATCAGCAATCAATTGAGGTGCCTCGACAGATTGACCAACTAGTCTGCTGTGTGCTGCTAGAAACTATGCATGGGCTCGTTTGCTGAGCAGTAGAAAGTCCCATAATCTGATTCCAGGGTAGAAGCCGACGAGACTTGAGAATGAACTACTCTCTCAACATTTTATAAGCTATTATATTTCTGCGCTGTGCAGCTGTGAGCCTGCAAGTATCGTAGAGCATTGAATGTTGGAAAATGTAGTTCCAGGTGAAAAAGTTGCAGATTTTTCAACTACAGGATTTACTATCCTGGGATCTTGTTAAGTAAAGAGAGTACTATTCAAGGCCTAGAGCGGTCGCAAAAGTATGGATATTTCGTGAAATGCGCAGGCTGTAACGATGCACGCATAGTCTTTCTTAGTCCAGCAGATGCTAAGAAGTTATATGCCGGTCTTCCCTTCCACAGATTGATGGTGAAGGATGAGACAATACGTTTCGGCTTGCTTCGCAGATGGGTACTCATGGTCAATACAGGGCAACAAACCCGTTGTGAATTGTGTGAAGTGAGAAGTATTATTAAGGTGATGATCGACACAAGGTAAAGGCATCCTTCCTGCACGCTTTGATAAGTGAAGAAGTGACCCGAGACTTGATAGGCTAAAGAAATGGCTTGGATTATGAGAGAGGCTACAATGTGTTTCAAAAAGAACGTGGAATAAGGTTCATGATGGGAACGAGCCTCAAAATCCAGATTCTAATCGACTGCTCAAAATAGTACCCGAGACAAGAATACGGTCTTGTCCCGATAAGAGACCTATATCAGATCGAACTCATCGAACTGTTTGCAGACGCTGAAAGTGGGAGGCTTTCATGTGGCGATGATGTTGGTGATTTATAAAGAGCAACTGATTATAGAAACTATACAGACCAATTTGACTATGCTTGATGACCAGATCGTGGTTGCATTGTAACAGGTGTTAGAAGAATGAAATAAAGTCTTATGGATTCATCTGGTATACAAATTGCAGTAGTTGATGTTTGACCTTGGTCAAGTCGAAAAGCTTGAGTAGGCGTTCTTCATATTGAAAAGGTGGATATTTTTAACGCCAGGATGCCGTCATCTTGCTCCAATTGCAGCCTTTAAGACTCGAGCAATTTCCCTTTGAATAGATTTCGGTTTTATCTGTAGGATTGGCCCTCGAGGTCGAGGATGATCGATAATTCATTTGTGGCAGTCTTTCTCGTCTTGCAGAAAAGCTCTAGCAATGGAAAGTTTCGAGAGGAAATGATGAAGGGTCTGTCCAGGTCACGTGTGACTATTCGAATTCCTTCTTCCTTTACTTTTCTTTTTCTGGCTTCTTGAGGAATACTCTTTTCTGTGATGATTGTTGTGAGACGTTCTATTATGGTTCTAAATGCACCTATCTACCTGGTATGATTGCGTGTACTGCGTTGCTCTCAATTGTTATGGTATAGGTGTAGATATAGATATGGATATGGATACAATAAACGTGATACGACGCTTATGGCTTGGGTGGGCAAACATAGAAGTAGGTACTCATCTCCAAACTCAGATGATACTTCTGCTGCTACACACACCGCTTCAATACACGTGTACAGATTTCAAGATAAGTACAATCAATATGAGTTACATGGACTAGGAGATTAGAAGTCCTCATTTCTCAACATTCTTTTCATCGGTTCTTGAAGTTCTCTGTTCCCCGGCCTAAAACACTCCGACTCGTGGACCCGCTGTCATCTCCGTAGGGAGAGAGACAGACAGCCAGACAGCCAGACAGCCAGGGACGGATACACACCCGCGGCGTGGACCATTCAAGATGAAGATTGGCGGTGAGGCAGGCACAAACCCCAGGCGCTTCAATTCTTTTTTTGAAAGGGCAACCTGGAACGAGTTGGTATGTTGAACAATTGAACTTCATGGACAAGTGAAAAGTTGAGTTTCAGCGCCGAATTTCTGACCCATATTCATGATTGGGCCATGGAGTGAGACGAACAAGCGCGTGTGATTCCAATGCGACAGAGATACATACCGAGGTGGAGCGCCAAATTCTTAAAAAGGAAATCTGGAGTTTCACTTGGTATAGACTGCCACGAGGTTATTGGTGTGTCAAGACTGGCAAAGATTCACATGCGAAAATATGCATGGGAATGATTGACTTATATCTAATGCCGATATGTCATCCAAATGCCAGAAGCATTCATCTATCCACACATCCTTTCGCAATTGTGGTTATATCTTATATGGTGTTATATCATTCCAGCATTTGTTCTTTGCTCAGGTAATTATTCTTATTCTATCATCATTTAATCACGTTGTTCGGCGTCGAACGCCAGTTTCATCGTCATAAGAATCTCTTTACAATCTCAAATCATCGTCAAAGCCATTTGCCACAAATACTGATTATTGGGCGACATCGGCTCAAACAATCTGTCACCCGAACGTGCTTTGTAGATAGCGCGATTCTTTCTGTGCAGTAGCGGTCTATCAACACAGCGAATCCAATCTTTGGATTTGTGTTGATTATATCCACTATTACATGAAAAAGTAAAGACATTTTTCAATCAACTGCAAGTGGGCATTGGCGAGAAACAATTGGACAATCGGCTCGGGCAGAGTTCCTCCCCAGGGTTTCTCGATAGTGCGAAATATATTGAATTTTAACCCAAAGATTCACGCCAAATCTTCTTCCTTTCTCCAACCGATCATCCATCTTGGAGCAAGCACTATAGCCCAGGTTTCTCTAGAATCAAGTCATCCTCCGTGTGATCAATTTAGATCTTCAACTTCTCTCGCCGTTCTCATCGTCAACAAAAGCTCAAGATACCTAGTACGCTAAGATAGGAAGAGAGTGGGGTTGTGGTCAACTAATGCGGAGCAAGAAGCATTAACGAGGACTAGGAGGGGCATGGGCTTTATTGATTGCCAACGAACATCCAATCTCATTTACACCGAATTGTAGAAATTGTTCTGGATCAATCTTCCATCGCTCCACTAGACGATTTTAGTACCGGCTCAACAAACCAAGCGGTGGAAGAAGATCTAACGAACTATCTTAGAACCTTGGAGTTCAAATCTATCGAGTAGTGGACTTGGTACATACAGTTAGAGGAAAGCCACCGGGGAAATTTTAGACTTTACTTACATCATTCTTTGGGTAATATTTGGAGAACCATTGGGGTACTGCCCGTGGTTCTTCCATATGCGTACATCTACTTGACGTACCCACCGCACAAAATTGAGCGTCTACTTTCAAATCCACAGAAACTCCGCTCCCAGGTATTCTACAAAAGATTTCAAACCAATCTAGCGAGCATATCTGGCAATAGGTGGTTCTTAAATTGCAATCTACAGGAAGATTGAGAACTACAAGACGGCTATACACCCCGAGCGAAATCAAGAAGTCACGATTCGCACTTGCACCAAATCGTCATTAGAATTTCGATCCAACCTCGCTTCAATCTCAGACATGTCTTCCAGAACCCACCGGAAGCTTTCCCCCTTGACTACCAATTGGAGCAATAGGAGTCATTCAAGTATAAACTCTGATGCTTCAGTCTTTTATCCAGCACTAGCACACCCGACACCAATCGAGCTCAAGCAACAAATTCCTCAATCACCTTCATCCCGTGCTCATCCACACACCATATCTTCTCCTCGAGAATTTTGCCCTACCAAGATGAACCGTCAAGACTCAGGCTACGCAGAAAATGTTTCCTACATACCCAGCCACATGCGAACGTCATCACGACCTAGCTCAAAATCATCCTCCCATAATCCTCGGCCCTCATTGAATGCGTCCCGAAAATCATCTTCGCGTTCAAAGGATTCCTCCAGCACCTCCTCCTCAGCCTCCAGTGCAACCAGCCGGTCAACACCCAAACGCTGTCCAAAATCTCCCCGTGCGTCCACTTCCAACTCACGCCCCAATGCCTCCAGGCACCACCACAGCCAAACATTATCAACGCCACCACAATACCAATACTTTCACTTCCCCTCGCTGTCCGATGACCTACCCCAAGAAACATCCAACCTAACTTCAACTATCGCTCCACCCCCACCAGCTACAATCCATTATTGGACCTCGGACCAAACCCGAAGATTAGAGTACGCAGCCATTGACGCAGCCAGCAAAGGAATTCGGGGATTTGTGACACGATGTATACCCGATTGTTTCTTGCCCGCCGAAAAGAGAGGAAACAGATTCTGTCAAGAGGATATGCGAGAAGGAGATGATGACGCAGGAAGCGTGAGGAGATATCGACTCGTCATGGAAGATGAGGTTGAGAATGAGATGAAAGGGGAAAGGATCAAGGACAGAGCTCAGTCGGTAAAGGAACACAGAAGGAGGTGGAGTTCTTTTATTAAACGTTGAGCCGGAGAGGAGATTCTGTTTTCCTGTGGGATTGCATTCACGGAGCGACAGGTGCACTGGGCTACGTTGTTATAGTTCGCTATCTTTCATTTGTTCTTGATACCCCCTTATATAAGGATGTCTTTTTTGAGTTTGGTGGCAGTTTTTTGATATTGCATATTGGAATTGATTTAAATTCTTGAGATTTGGTTAAGAGCAGAGATATAAAGAGAAGATCACAGCATTCAAGTGGAAGGATGGTATTTTCGGTGTCTAGGAGAATATATGGTCTTAAGAGGATATGAGAACAGCTGGGACAATAGTGATACATACCTAGCTAGGTATTGTTGGAAAGATACAAGATTGTAGTTACTCCCCGAGGAGATGAGAGAATAGTTATATCAAATTATTCAAAACGATCAACATTCCGATAACTTCATATCCAAAAATCATACTGCAGGCACAATTTCATCTACAATAAGAGCACAACATCTTGCCAGTAATAAAAAGGGGGTTTTATATTGAAAATATGACTATTCCTGTTCCCAATCAAAAATATTCTCCCTCAACGCTATCTCCACCTTCATAAAAGGTATTGAGTGACGCTGATCTGTTGTACAAACCATATCCCATCCTGAACTCCATGCTTAGAATCCGATCCATGTACACATCTATAGCTCATGCCCTTCTGATAGCAATCTTGCAATCATGACATACGTGAAAATCACTCCACCAGCGATCCAGTATTTATGTGTCTGTAACCAACTTCTTCCCTCTCTGCCACCTTCTACCACAGCTCCCACAACAGCTTGACTACCCCCTGGTCTCTTCATCGCAATTCCGCTGCAGTCCCTTCCTTTCTCGTCCTCATCTTTCTTTGCCTCGTTTCCAGTCACAATATCGACTCCCCTCTCTTTCATCCACTTCCAGTTCTCCTTGTCCAACTCTTCCCATTCACTTCTAAACTTTGCGCCTCCGTCCCCGGCTTTGATATTGCCCTTCTGTGTTCCGTCCTTCTTGTAACTTCCTCCTCCTGTGCTATTCCACCATCTCGTCCTACTCGCAGCCCATTTTCTTTCCGATTTAGATGCGTTTACCGAACCCGTTGTCATTTCTTCACTTGTCATAAAACTTAATAGACCTATTAATATTGTGCTTACTTCCCACGCGGGATTAAAACTCTTAGGATGAAAATCGCTGATCGAGAGACAAAGACGAGTGGAGGGTTGGAAACGCCCGGATGGCGTGTGCATTTTAATCGAGGGAGGCGCAAATGGATAATTTGGAGGGAACAGAAGGGTACCCCAGTATTGTCCACCATGATAGGGAGTATCGGGAGGTCCGGTGAGGATGTAATGCCATTCGAGGATATTGGATTCAGAGGGGTGGGCTTCGATGTATGGAGGGGGATTTTCGGAGATGGTTTTGTATTCACGGGTCAACTGTATCAGAATATGTTAATCATCATACATCATACATCATACAGGTGAAAGCAGACTGCCATATACAAGTTGATTTACATACCCGTTTGTTGGCAGCTCGACTTGCCATTTTGTCGTCGCACTCGAAAGGATACGCTGGCCTTGTTGCGATAGAAAACGTTCGGGGGTCTGACGCAAAGTTCTTAGTATGCCTGGATGATTTTCTTTGGTTGGGAGAATCAATCCAACCAGTACCAAAATATTTCTTTGAGTTGTCGAAAAGTCAATTAGAATGTGCGAGGTTGTAGGTTGTCCGTAACCAAAGATTCACATGGAATGCTTTGGGTTTTATTAAGGATGATTCAATGATGCAGACTATTCATAGGAGAAAAAACAGACCAGAATTGACCACTGGTAAAGCCCTTCAACAATCTAATTGTTCCACTTCAATTCAGAGAATTAAAAGTTCAAATAGTATGATAACTAAACATTATCTGAGGATTCATTTAATACTATTAATTCTTAATTTGTTATAGAATGTATTGGGCCGATCAATCTTGGCCTCTATTTTCTCCTACGTAGAGACCTATTATTAGTCTCTCGCTTAGTCATCAATGGTGTTTGAATTAAAGCCTTCCCCGCGGTATGATTGAGAACCAGAGAACCTGGAATAATTCTGGGTAGACTTATACGATATGACTTCGCCAAATGGGTCAAAGGGGGCTGTGAGTTTTGTTTCTATCAGTACAGTCAAGCTGCTAATGTATTCGGTTGCAGCTCGTCGAGAGTCTCCTAAAAACCGATCCCAAATCACAAGAAGAGCTGGAGAAAGCTATAGCAGAGAAGCATATGGGATATGCTTTAGAGGCTGCGCAGAGAAATGGAGAGCTGGTATGTACATGTAGTAGCTTCGGGAATTTATGATTTGATGGGCTCACGGAATAGATTGGCAATAATTCCACAAAACCGGTCACAATTTCCTCGATTAAACTCCTTGGGCCCTCGCACACGAGGCGGTCATTCCTCGACGGAATATTCGACCCTCTGCTTAGTGCCAACAGAGATGGGCCATATACATTGTCGGAAGCATTGCAGGAACTCAGCACAGCTACAAATAAACTCCGTCGACATGGTACGATACTCCATATCGGGGTCTAATCAACATTATACTTATCCGTCTTAGGAATTTTCCACGATGATATCTCGATGTTCATTGATAAACCTGACCCTACTGACCCCTCTTCTACTCCTTCCGATATCGATATATACATTCGTGCACGAGAGCGAGGTGTTATCACATTGAAAACTGGTACTGATCTTGGCAATGCCGAAGGCTCAGCCTATGGAAATGCACAATGGCGTAACATATTCGGGGGTGCTGAGACCTTAAATGTCAACGCTGCTACTGGTACTCGAACTCGTTCTGCGTATCAAGCTACATTCGAGGCTCCAATTTTGAGTGATCCCGATAAAAGAATAGCTGTGGATGTTTTGTCGAGCGCGACTAGTAAGCCCTGGGCAAGTCACGAAGAAGTCCTTAAGGGCGGGGGTATAAAATATAGTTGGGCTTCAGGCGGTGGCAGCACACATCAAATTGGATACAGTGGAGTGTGGAGACAAGTGACGGGATTGGCTGGAAATGCGTCACCTACGGTACGCAACGATGCAGGAGATACAGTCAAGAGCAGTATTTCACATATCTGGCTTAAAGACGAACGGAATCACCCTATACTACCAAACCAAGGATATCTTCTAAAGTCAACATCTGAAATTGCAGGTTGGGGACCACTAAAAGGAGACGTGGGATTCTGGAAATCGGAAGTCGAATCTAGTGGGGCTGTCAAAGTTCCTGGGATCCCTGGTGCAAGCTTGACCGCTGGTATCAGAGCAGGAATGTTGTATCCGTTAGGCGTTGGATTCGGTACTGCAGCCAAGCCATCACGCATAAACGATAGATTTCAACTCGGAGGACCAACGGATGTTCGTGGATTTAAGATTGGCGGCCTTGGACCTCGAGACAGACAAGATGCAGTTGGAGGAGACGTCTACGCAGCTTCATCTGTCAACCTTCTTCTTCCATTTCCCCGCGTCGACGTGTCAACCCCACTGCGCCTCCAGTTATTCGCCAATGCCGGCCGTCTCCTTGCACTTAAAAACTCAGAAAAGAATACAAGTAACAGCGTATATGGCACAGTCGCAGAACTCGGTAAGGAGATCCCAAGCTTGGCGGTCGGAATAGGAATGGTGTATGCACACCCCGTGGCACGATTTGAATTAAACTTCGGTCTACCCATCGTTGTTAGAAAGGGAGAGGAAACTAGAAAGGGCCTCCAATTCGGAGTAGGCATCAACTTTCTATGATTTATGAAGTTTCGCGGAGTAGGAGTAGACGAGGCAGGGCATATACCATAAAAAGGCGAAAATGGAGCTTGGGTTGTATAAATGTACAGTATGCTATATACTACTAGCTTTAGCCAGCTAACTGGGTAGAAAACAGGAAGACAATCACGACTTTAGATCGGTTTACTATGCTTTTTTTGTTGTGGGGTCCCTATAATGTCTGTGTTTTAGCTGTGGTTCCGGGTGCTGCCGCCGCCACGTTGCTTTGAAAATCCCTGCCATTCAAGAATCGATAGCGGGACACCGATTAGACAATTCGAATTCTACGAATACAAAGAAAAGCTTTCCACTCATCGATGTTTTTTCGATCATTGGCATTTCCAAAATTTATCTTGAGGAACACCCACCTTTAGAAGCCCAAATTTGTCTAAGCCCTTTGAAAGTTTTAAACATACTCCATTTTTCACGATGGCTTCAATTGCGAAATTCGGCTCCGCTCTAGAGTCTTCCTCCTACCAAAGTCCCGATGGCGGTTCTGCTTACGCACCTCTTCGTAAGAAAGCGGTCGAGGAAGCCATCGCAATGGGGTACAATCCGGCAACCATGGTTGAATGTGGAGTGACTTGGGCCGATGATCACGATCCATTCCAGCACGTGAAGAACGCAGCTTACGTGCATTATGTGAACCAATGCGCATTTCGCGAATTCCAATCATTCGAACCGTATTTGGGCAAAGAGAAATTTCAGGATATGCTCAAGGTCCGCGGTGTTGGACCTGTTGTCAAGAACTATACAGTCAATTTCAAAAGGCCTGTGAAATTCCCAGATTCGGTATGAGTTTTTTGTGTGAGATGCTGTTGAATTTGGGCTCACGAAACGAATTAGCTTATTGTCGCGAATCATATTACTGAAGTTTTCCCAGATCGTTACTTTGGTACTACCTCTGTTTGGTCTTTGAATCAGCAAGTTATTGTTGCGGATTTCAGAATATGCATAGTGTTTTTTGATTATGATCGAGGTGTACCAGCCAATCTTCTTGAAATTGGCGGTGTATACAAGAATTTATATGAGGCTCTGAAGCAACGATTAGAAATGGAAGCGAAAATAGCTTTAATTTGGGAGAAGGAGCATCCCAAGAGATCGAAAGCCATGCTGTAATTCAACTTCGATATAGAGACAGATTGGTGCGCGAATATGGCAGCGTTCGTTCTAGACTAATGCAGCCCCCAAACATTATATTTCACGTGGGTATTCGTCAATAAAGAGCAGGAGATGATGTTGGTACGCAAAATATTTCCAATAGCCAATCTATTGATTCAATCGATCGAACCGCAGCTCACAAATAAGTCTAGCCCCTGACCGAATTCCACACAGAAGAGAAACATTTGTAGCCTTGGCACCTCATGTTCGGGTTATTATCAAGCAAAGTCGTCTTGGTATTGACCCCCTTTTCCACATATCTTCCGCTCACTGAATCTTCATTCGGACCCCAAAGCTCGAAAACCATCACCAATCATCACGATTGGGCTGTGCCTCAAGAGCACCCTCTGTAGCAAAGTCAGAGTTTGTCTTGATTCCTATTTCTATGTGAGCTTTGCAGTGAAAGAATGCTTAGTAGGTAGCTTACTGGGGCTAATGGCCGTAGCTATGGCCGTGCCAATAAGAGAAACTACAAGGAGCAAACTTTGGAAACGCATGATGGAGAATTTATAAGTCGATTTTGATTTTTGAGATTCAGCTGACGCTTCGAGGACGTACTTTGATGCTGTAAGATCTTCTTGCCGAGAAGGAAAGACTATGCTTTTGATTTTAGCGAAGCATTTTACTTGGAAACTCCCTAGATATATATATAGCAATGGCATGTAACTTTAAAAAGCGATATCTTAATTGTGTATTCGATTTGTGCGCCGACCGATCATCTGAAAGTAGAACATTGTATTCGTACTCTCACACTGATAGGGCTACGCAAGGATATACAGATCCAATCTTAATCTCATAGCGCGTTGCTATTCGACAGAGAACGAGATTCTAATGACGAGGTGATACGATCCAAGCACGCGCACCTATCTAGGCGCCATCAATCATACCAAATGTTAAATGTCGAGTGCCGTATCGACATATCGAAGCATGTGCAGTTGCGCAGGGCTCCGGATATTATGCGGTGAAAGATGCGATGAAGTGACTTTTGTGTGCAGTTATTATGTGTACGAAGAGACTTTGTATGACCGGTACAGTTCCACCAATTCAGCCTTAAGCAGCTCTTATCATCTGCTACACCCCCACTCTGTATTTCGATCGTGTCCAAATCTTCTCTTTACATCTGATCCATCCTCCAAATATCCGTTATGATCCCTAATACGTCTGAAGATACTAGAGGATTGCTCTCTGAGGAAAAAGGCCATGGTGATGACGATAGAAACTGTCCTCATTGCGGAAATACATCTCCCAAGTTAACACCTTCAGGGAGATTGCGATCATGGACCATGTTGATCATGATATACGGCATTGTTGCAGCATTCACTCTCATTGGCATGGCTACACTACTTTCCTCGAGTCGAAATACCTTCCTCAAACTACCAGAAATGAAATCAAGTCATCGGCCATCATTGTGGAGTATCTACTTGTTCACTTCTCAAGAAGTCATCTTATTCTAACAGAATTTCAGCTCCCTTTGCAGATGGGATTCGGTACGAAATCGAAACGGCTCCATCTGATCTTTGGGCGAATAATATTTACATGGGAGAGCCATGCAATGAATCAGAACGGGCATGGAATAATCTTATACATCGTTAGCAGACTCCATTACAACATGAATTGTACCTTCAGAAACTCATTCTCTTTAGCAAATCGAGGACATGGTGTTAGGCTTTACCGTGAGGAAGCTGCGAGGCTAGATATTAACAAGAGTATACTTTTACAGGATAACAACTTTGCTGTCATTCTTACAGTTCATCATAATCTTCATTGTCTGGTATGAGCTCTTTTCACTAATAATGCGATGATTAAATGCTAACTACCTGGCGCCACCCTTTAGAGACGACTCCGACAGTCCTTTTTTCCTGAACATTACTATGCCAATTGGACGGATGAAGATCGAGCAGATGATAGACATCATCAATGTAGGTTGGACTTCCATTCATATTTCTTTACCGCAACGAACTAACCATTCTCAGTACATTGTCTCGAATCTCTTCGATCATCCATGATCTGTCAACCGGACCTAGCACCGCTCCCCTACTATTGGTCTGGTAATATAAGACATGATATGAACGCAAGTCCGCAATCCAAACGTGAATGTGTTAACTGGGGTGTATTTTCCGAATACTTGAAGGGGAGAAGTTACAAAAGGTCCGAGATGATTCATGATTAGTTTTTGGGAGCGTGTTAACTTTCAGTTGGGCTGATGTATGCGAATTAGTAATGAGTATTTTTAGTGTTGATAACATGATGTCTATTCAATGCATCTACACGACTGTGATAATTTGTCTCCATGATGCCCTTCGAGAATTGGACATTCAACTGGAGAGAGCCGGTACTACTCCATTCACAAATCGGAAGCTCTCTGTAAGATACATCGATTAACGAGTCTTGGCCAAGTCATCCGCACGTCTGTCAAACACAAAGGCAAAGCTTGAATGTTCGGAAGAGAAAGGATGTACAAGCTGGTCGTACCAATCAGGCTTAATTGTTACATTGTGTTCCATTGATTAGCCTTACGGCGAGCAAAACGAGTTTTTACCGTCCCACAAGATGCACTACATGTCAATGATAACCAATCCGGCATACATGACCCGAACCCACAGCTTTATTAAGCTTTTATGTCGGGCCACTCGTTGTGATAGCATTTCTGGCACTACCACACTTACCCGTTGTGGTTGCCGAACACAACCGCTCTTGCTCCAATGGGATGATAGATTTTGCTACCAATTCAACGTTCCTTTCAAGTTATGTGGATCTCGAGAGATATTTGGTACATATCATCCTGTATCTAACCACGTTATGATGTGAATTTGTAACACCAAAGATACAAAAGGTTGCTAGGTATTTACGAGAATGCCTCGTAAGGAGACCAGTCATACCTGAAGGCAAATTTGAGTTTCCCACAGGTACTTCAGCTGGATTCCCACAAAAATCTCCTCTGCGATCTTAAGTCTTCCATGGGCTTGAATCTATCAAACTGTGGCTTTTTTCTTTTTGAGATTATTCCCCGTGTTTAAAGTTGTTACTTATCAAAATGACATCGGGGTCCCAACTTACACCGTGTACAGACTCCCCTTGCGGAGTACATGATACAAGCGCGGAGGTTTCACTTCGTCCTTCCAACGGTGATGGTTTCCATTCTTTGGAAAAGGAAAAGCAGAAATCAGAGCCTCTTGTGACTGGACATGATCTCAACAATGATAACCCATCACTCACAGATTGGGCAATCGATCCCCAGAACCCAACAAACTGGTCTTCTATACGCAAATGGACGACTATAATTCTTCTCGTAGTCACAAACTTCATAGCGTAGGGCTTGTCAATGCACTCTAAACTAGCAGCTAACTATTAAAGATCAACATGTACTTCAGCATTCGAGCCCGCGCTCCCCTCCATAATGGCCGATTTTCACTCTGCCAACGGTTCAATTGCCTCTCTCACCATCTCCATCTACACAATAGGCTACTGTCTCGGACCTCTTCTCATCGCTCCTATAAGTGAATTATACGGCCATGTGACTGTGTTATATCCTGGATACATCGGCTTTATGCTAGCTCTAGCTGTCTGTGGTTCGAGCAGGAGTCTTCCTTTATTTGTGGTGTTCCGTGCTATTATGGGTCTTGCGGCCATCACGTTTGTACTCATGGGTCCTGCGATTGTGGCAGATCTTATTCCCAGGGAACAAAGAGGATTGGCGTTGAGTATTATGTCTACGGGGCCTGTCGTTGTATGTATAGTGTTGATGTGATTAAGATATGCTTTCTTGCTGACGTTTATAGGGTCCAACGATTGGTCAGTTTTTAATTCTTCGCTCATAGTTTGGCCAAAATACTCATCTAGTTAGGTCCTGTTATTGGTGGTTATATCGTGGAAAACGCCAGTTGGAGATGGATTTTCTACTCAACTTTAATTGCTGTAAGTGATCCCAGATGTATGACTTTCAGATGTTTAATAATGCAGCAGTTTGGTGTTTTATCCTCTCTATCCCTTGTCATTCTCAACGAGACGTACGAACCCGTAGTCTTGAATCGAAAGCAAAATAAAGGAGGGAAAAGCCTACCCACAAGTCAAAAGATCACAACTCCCAAAACTCCTCGAGAGACTCTGCAAGCAGCCTGGACCCGTCCCTTTAAAATGCTCTTCCTCTCACCTATCGTTCCCTTTGTAGGCTTCTACAGCGCCCTAAGCAACGCCTACGGAATGGTATGTTTCGCGACCCTCGGCACCGTCTTTCAAGACAACTACTCCTTTACACCCGGTAAGAGCGGGCTAGCATATCTTGGTCTCATGGTCGGTTTCCTCTTCTGCCAACTATCCCTTGCCCGATTTTCCGACCGTCATATGCTCAAAATGGAAGTGAAAAATAACGACAAGCGCCCGGAATATCGTCTGCCACCCATGTTCATCGGTGCATTTCTCCTCCCCATAGGATTTTTCTGGTACGGATGGTCTCTTGAATATCATGCCCATTGGATCGTTCCTATTCTTGGAAGTTCAGTTATTGCGATTGGTATTCTATTTAGCTATCTGCCAGTACAGATGTATCTTGTAGATACATATACTATCTATGCTGCGAGCGCTACTGGAGCATGCACCATCATCCGTTCGATCTGTTCGACTTTGATCCCGTTGAGTGCTAATCCTCTATATGTTGATTTGGGGTATGGATGGGGTAACAGTGTCTTGGCGTTCATTGCGATAGGATTTGTGCCAATTGCTTTGCTAGTGTTGAGATATGGGGAGAGAATTAGAACGAATCCACGCTTTCAACCGAAGCTCTGATATGGAATTATGAGAGGCGTTAGGGGACAATTGTTAGATAATTATGATTTACTCAGAAGTGCTTAGAATGCGAAGAAAGTTTGGGGGTCCATTTATTTTCAAAGAGTTGAACAAGAAGCCAGGTGAAAATAATTAGATAGTTGGGTGGAATTGACATAAAGTGATCCCCACATAGGGGGCTTGGTACACTTCTCGGTACTTTAAAATATTTATTTCAGGAATGAACTAATTGAGATACTAAAAGAGAAGCTAGAAGTTGTAGTAGTCCACCAAGGTGCTATTCACTTGGGTTGGAGAAGTCATTTTTAGCTATCTCAAAAACTGTTCACAGACTCCCGAAGAAGCACTATTTATCTACCTATGATCCACCAAGAGCTCAGGGGTAATCCTTTAAGTAACTAAGAAAGCTTAAGGTCCAAACTTCTGCTTGTATTCATCCTTCATACCCTTTAAGTCCGATGCAAGACAAGGTTCCACCAAGTCAGCCCACCATCCTTTCCTATGCGATCTCAAGCCAACCTCATGAAGCAAAGCATCCGTATACCAAACAAGCTCAAAGAAAAAGCATTCTCCCTTTTGACCATGGGTAGGATATCTTCGTTTCGAGAAGGCCCCCATGTACGCAACTTCTTCTACCATTTGTTCCAATGGAGGTAGCTTTATGTTCCCGTCGAAATATGCTGTTGTCCAGATGGCCTGTGTTTCGGCAGCCCGAAAAGAATTAGAAATATCTATAGCCCCTAGAAATGCAATTGAATCATCTGCAAGTGGTGCAATACCTTTGTATAGTCTTTGTACTGTTGTATCAGGGGAAGCCCGATTTTGGTGTGGGGGAGGGGTTTCAAGGAGTGGAAATTTGGCGATCACTCGACGATCTGCCTCCTCATATAGCTGCTTCCATAACGATCTCTCTTCAATACTATCCATTGGCTGAAAGTGAGGAAGACCGAGATATCGAGCCTGTATATCGCTAAAACACTGTTGCTGGGGATCCCAGCCCGTTCCCAATAATACCTCATCTGCTATAAGTTGCTTGCCATTGTCTAAAGTTATGATGCTGTCTTTGTAAGAAACAACATCGTTTCGGTAAACTTGAACATTCTGAGAGATCGTTTCCCAAAAGTCATCGTGCTGCACAAGTCCTACAGGCCCAGTACACCAAAATGCACTAATGATGTCAGTGTTCTTTTCTCGCATAACTGGGGCAGACTCACGAAGAACTAAAGTCAAGGAGCTCAAATCCCTGCAACGATCCTGGTCTGCTGCCATATCCTGCCATGTTACGACAATATTGATCAACATTCTTGATTCTCTGAATCATATAGTTTATTCCAATGCGGGTTCCATAAAGCAAGGTACGAATCATGGAAAACCACCAAGTGGTTGGCATAAACGGAGATGGACTAAAGAGTGCTTTGAGCCTAGTTGCCGAACTTTCGACTGAATTCTTGTAGCGCCCATGGCCAGGAGCGGGAAACAGTAGAGCTGGGCCCTCGCCACTTGCTCTAATAATCCATTTGACGTTCTGACCTTTCTTGACTAACTCATAGACCATATCTGCTGCAGACTTGCCACCGCCAAGAACTGCAAAGAATAGTATACCGCTGGCCCAAGGTAATGGCTGCTGTGATAATTCCCCAAAAGCTTTGTGATGACGTACAAATCTCATACTCGATTCCCAATCAATTGAAGGCATTCTAGGATACGAAGTACGGCCAGTAGCGACAACAAGCTTGCGACATGTAAAAGACGTTGAAATGTTTTCTTTGAGATAGCTTGGAACTTCTGTAGCTTCTGTTATGACTTCCCATTTATCGCGCACTTTATTGGTTTTGACAGCTTTGCAGTAGAAATATATCCTAGAAAGGAGAGTTTGCCCTCCGTATATATGATTCTGCGCATACTCCTCGAGATAATTGGTGACATACTTTGCTTCGAATGTATCATGGTATAAAGGCGCATCTTCGGGAACAGTAAGAGGAACATCGGAGAATCCAGACATTCGGCGGCCACTTTGACACCAAAAATTATCGTATGATCGTCCTTGAAATTACACACTAAATTCAGTATATATAAATGAAAATAGGATAGGGAGGGAAAAAGGCAGAAAGTAAACAACACTTACTTTGACTCCAAACACCACCAAGGCATCTATCCTCTTCAATAATAACTAGGTTAGCTTCTGGGTGAGTATCAAGGTAGAATCTAGCAAAGGCCAAACCACTCAGGCCTATGAAAAATTGTATGAAAGTCAGCGATTTGTAATTTTAGACGCAACAGGTAAAGTATTCCATGATTAAGGAGGAGAAGATAACGTAGTTCATACCGGAGCCAATGACAACAATATCCACTTCAAGCATATTGCTAAATGTCTGACAAGATGATCTGTGGTGTTTTGTATTCGATATTCGATACTATGTTGTGTTGTGCTTTGGGTGTAGTAAAACACCGAGAAAGTTGAGAAGAGGAAAATCACGGCTCAATATATCGTTTCAATGGCGAATGGGTGATATAGGTAACTGTGAACACATTGATCGTACATGCCTCTTTTGCCATAAACCATGTGAGGTATAAGATATGTTACACAAACACAAACACGACAGGAACGAAGTAAGTACTTAAATGGTAGCTGTGTGGATGTATCATCTCCCACTAATCTACCTAGTATATTCATCTATCTCTCTATCTCTCTCTCTCTCTCTCTCTCTCTCTCTCTCTCTCTCTCTCTCTCTCTCTCTCTCTCTTGACTTGCTTGATATACTGTCAGTCTATCTCCTGTATAGATAATTGCCCAGCGAAAGCCTATAGCCCAATAGCGAGTTGTACATATTGCCGGTTCTCCACATGAACGAATTCGAACTTAATTTCGAAGGGTGTCAGATGTGTAAGATTGGAAACTGGCCGAACTGTAATCAACCATCAAGCACATCAATCAGCTGCCATCGAGATGCGACCATAAACAGGATGTACTACCCTCACTTACCCTTGGATTCCCAAAATAACAAGACGATCCACACTTATCAATGAGCAGTGAAGTGATATATGGGCAGACATAACACGTGACATATTGTAAGGCTGATCAAAGGGGCACGGTGCATTTGGATGTCTGAGCCTTTTTCTTCTAGGCTCACTTCAACTTTGTTGAAGGTTGCAACAAACAAACCTCATCACAGAAGACAATCTCGCAGAGCTTATAGTTTGTAAACCACAAAGGAAGTTGAAGTATTGATTCATCCGAAAATCTCGAGGATGCCGTAGCAAGTCTTGCTGTCATGCCTCCCACGCTCACGATCTACTGTCTTGATCTTCAAGGTCAGGAAAGCGGTGAATGGCGATTAACAAGCAGTGTATCTACACAGGAAATATTCTCGAACTGTGCCCGGTATGTTGACTTTTGCACGCAAGTTTGGAGGAAGGAAGGGCAAAGCATCGATAATACATATTTGCTTGTGGAAGTTGTCTATGTGTATCCACACCGTCTATATACTTTGCACTCTACAAGAATAATATCATCGTCCTCTCTGCCCTTGTTTCGATTCTCCTCTCATCTCATAGTTGCGCTGTATAATGGCATTATCCAAGGAGATGAATAGGTAAAGAAGCGAAAGTCATGCACTGTCCGCTAGAACTTTGGGGCTATGAGTGGATTGGGAATTTCTTTAAACCCCCATTGTATTTGTCTTGCAGCATGTACAATAATCCTACACTTAGGTTAGTAGTGTCTGTGGATGGTTTACATTGGTGGAAGCTTACCCCAAATCATCCGCCCACGACCAAACCAGACCAGGATTTTTCTGAAACATCCTTCCATTGAAGATAGCATCGAGGCCCTCTTCAAGAAGGCCATTGGCTTGCACGCCATTTGTGATGTTGCCAACAGCACCGACGAAGGCTTTATCCTTGACAGCATTCTTAATGTATTTCGAAAAGCCAGCTTGGTACCCGGGGCCGAGTTTGATGATTTGTCCTGGATGGGAGCCACCAGAAGATACATCGATAAAATCTACGCCGAAGCTTGCAGCTTTCACAGATAATTGCGCACTATCTTCAAGAGTCCAACCATCAATTTCTGTCTCCTCTAGCCAATCTGTTGCACTAATTCGTAAGAACAAAGGCATTGTCTCGGGTATCGTAAGCCGGGTATCCTGAATTACTTCGAGAAGCAAACGAATGCGATTCTCAAAACTACCACCATACTCGTCTGTCCTCTTATTGCTGATAGGGCTTAGGAATTGATGAAGGAGAAACCCATGAGCGGCATGGATCTCAATGACATCGAATCCGGCTCGTAAAGCACGCTCAACAGAGCTTACCCAAGACTTTCTGAAATCTGCGATATCAGAGAGCGTCGTTTCTTTAGGTATCAAAGAGCCTTCATCGTATGGCAGTGGACTTGGGCCGATGATGTCATTAGGCCAACCACCTGTCTCTTTGGTTGCATTCTCATTTCCCAACCACGGTGCGACTGTGGAAGCTTTTCGGCCTGCATGAAAGAGCTGGATACCGATGTGTTGGCTCTGTTTGACATCAGAACGTCAGTATTTGCCTAAAGTAAGGAATTTCTGGAAAGAAGACGCATTAAGGAACGGGTATCATAAAGCTGAAATATCCAATCGGAGTGGAGTTTGACGACTGTTACGTACCTGAGAATGTGTAAAATCTACAATTGTTTTCAAAGATTCAAGCTGCTCCTCATTCCAGAGTCCTACTCCATTAGGATCGATCCGTCCGTTCTTTGAAACAGCAGTTCCTTCTATCATAGTAAGGCCAGGACCACGTGTGACCCAGCCGCCAATTTGAGACAGATGCCATGGTGTTACTTTTCCGTCTTCTGCCGAGTATTGACATAATGGCGCAACCTACGTCAAAACGCAAAATCATTGACTGTCCTTCATCATGCAACTACACAAAGATTTGGGAGTACATACCCATATTCTGTTTTGGAAGGTCACGCCTCTAATGGTTAGTGGTTGGAAAAGCTTTGGGATGATTTGGGCTTTCAATGAAGGGCTCACTGCTGTTCCTGATGGAGGATTTTGCGCAGGTGTGAAATATGGCTATGGCTGGTTAGAAGAGAACCACCAGAACCATATTCATGCGGGTAAGAAATTGTCGCTTACAACGTTCTTCGCCCTGGCATTGATCGCTTTGGTACTAGAAGGTGCCATCATTGGCCAGGTGACAAAAAAATCCTTTTCGTTCAATTCAATGCTCAACTTTGAGCAATTTACTCCTGGTTGTGCGAGGAATAAGTATGGGAAGAAAAGGTAAACATGCTTAGTATATCGATGTATGGCTGAAATTTATAGGAAGAAAGGTGTGCTTATGCCTGCCTTGATATGAGTCGACAATTGATTTGAAATCCAAGAGCTTTGAAATTCAAATCTGCTTGATAATCAAATTGTATCTAACCTTCAAAAGGTGGATTCGAAGGACCCAATCTTAGTCAGATTAGCTTCAGGGCACCCCATTGCGCGCTACAATTTTAGACATGGGTTGTAGTTGGAAGATCTTTCTATTGGTTGAATTGCTATGCTCCTCTTATCCAAAGCCAGCTGCCCCATCTTGCCATGCTCTTTCCACTCTGACTATTTGCATGTGCGTTTGAACTGCCTTCTTATCAGAAAGACTCAAGAAAGTGCGTCCCCATGACTTACGCGTCTTTTTACTCTCCGCTCTTCTTACATCAGTCATTCAAGTTAGTGCACTATTTTGGGCCACTTCATTGTAAGCCACAATAACTTGTTGAAATGAATCTCTTTCAGATGAATCTTGAATCTCATCTGTCAGTTTCTTTCGTCGAAGAGAGAAGCTTTAGCTGAAATCGCAGCAACTTTGGAATTAGTTCCCACCTCGCACCTCTCAGTTGTTTTGGAGTACAGGCTTAAGGGGCGCCCGACGATCCGTTGTAGGTGCTTGACGAACCTTGGGGCCATTCACCTGATTTCTTCCTTTCACCCATAATACTCTACTACGGATCCTCCGGTCTCAAAAAGAGATATTATAACCACCGAGGGTCGCTGATTGGAGAGAGGACTAGCTTTCCTGTTCTGCTCCATCCAATATCTACTCAATTGCTTCATCACACGGAATCATTCAGTATCGTCAATCTTGCTGTTCTCAATAACTTATATGCTTATTTCTTAATGAGGAGGGACATCATCTCGATGCATAGTCGGTGCTAAACAGAATAAGTTGGTCCTGCCTTCACGATAACTTCAATCGTTGCTCATTTGCAGATTCTCGAAGTCATCTAGTCTTATCAGCATTTTTTATCAATCATTCTTGCACTATCTCGCATACATGGGGATCTGGCAGCATGAATCATCAGCCAGATTCTCATGAGGATGAGTACGCACCGGTAGATCAATAGACGCTACCGCTGTATGTAGCTTTTGAAAGTTACTTGACCCAGTTGTGTATTGTTTGTGACTTTAGTCTAGAATATCGATTGTATGATGATACTATATGTAACTTTACAATCAAGTGAATAAGGAATGAGAGATTAACCTATCTCCCCTCAACTTGCATGATATAATTCGACTCTGTATTCTGAAGGCCCCAGGATTGAAGCTTCTTCTTGTCGCAGTTAAGAACAGTATTCGGAAAGGATTGTGACGCCTTGGAACATGTGTGTGTAAAATTGAGAAGTTGCAATGAACCCAGGTACTCCACTTTCATCGTCCATACTTGAGATGAGTTCCTCGATGTGTGAAAGACTTTTTCGTACGCTTCCTGGCTATTTGAAGATTTGCGACGTGAGGTAATTCGATGCATGGATGCTTGGTGGACAAATGTAAGGTCACCGTCTTATAGGAAATGTATAATTGAGATTGAGAGTCTGGAATTGATTAGCAGGTCATTTTGATTGCATCAATTCTCAAGCTCAATTTTTGTCAGTGTCTTCGAATTTGAAGTCATTTGGAGAATAATGAGAGAATCTTGTGTTATTGGAGCAGATGTTCCAGTAATTCATGGATTTTTCAATTCTAACTTGTTTGGGGTTCAGGGGTGTCGCTTCCGGGCATAACCAATATGTTTAAAACCCGGTGGTAGCACCGCAACAATACTTGGGGATTGAATGCTTAAACTCTTCTTTCTTGAGTTCAAATATCCTTTTCCTGTATTTCCGATGGCTTTTTGTCATTTTAATGGAAGGCATAATGCTATTGTAATCCTCTGTTCCTTTCACAATACGCTACTTTTGTGATATCGATACTTTCAGGTCCCATCTTAACATCAATATTCATGAACACACAAAAAACAGTACCTAATCCAAACATAGCAGATATATATGTATCAATTGTATTATTCATCATATAGGCAATTCCATCCATCTCTCAAGAGAATAAATCTAACTCCAATTCCAATTTCAACGCCGACCCAAAACCCCGCTCACATGCGAAACGACTCATTAGCCCCCCAAATAATCCACACCATGTCTCTCCATCCATCCATCCATCCATCCATCTATCTATGCCTCTCCTTCTCTGCATACGTCTTATTCCACGGTTTCCTATCCTTAACACTCTCCATCAACGCTGTGCGATCAAAAATCGTATCCCTATTTACCTATTAGCCATTTCATTCCTTTTCTTCTCCCACACCCACAATACACTATAAAATACACATCCTCGCACCGATAGAAAATCACAAAAAAGTAATACATACATAGGATCTTGTTCAATATGCGGTTTCGTATGAGCATTATAGGAATGTAATTGCGCATCCATCCCCGCCTTGATGCTATGATGAGGAGAAGGTTTGAGGAAGGCGTTGGCGCCGATGAGACCCCCGATTGCGGCAACGGTCATGACGATTGCTTCGCGTTTGGCCATCATGGACATTTTATGGTGGTTGTTTGGGAAGATTGTTTTGGCTTGCTGTTGATGTTGTGAGGTGAGGATAGTAGGAGGGAGAGTTCCAATTGATGATTGATGTTGATATCGAACAGTGAGGAAATGCAATAATTTTTATTTGCTACTGATATTGTATACCGAATATTAAAAAAAGCCTCTCTCACCCCCTCCATTGAATCTGTTATATACTAGGTACGTATCACTCCCCAGCCAACACAGTTGTTGTAAAACCCGCAGGATTCCTCACCTCAGACGAAGAGGTCGTACGATAGCTGATGAAATCACCCCACACATGATCTGAGCGGGCGCAAAGGACCACCCCGCATTTCGAAACAGCATACACAAGTTGGCAAAATGAGGAGAGCATGCCATTTAATTGTTCGATCGCTTGCATAAATGGTCTTTTGTCATGATCTTGTGTTGGGGATGTCGTACGACCTGTTGTGTGACATTTGCGTGATGATCGGCATGGCAGTTAATTTCGGGAAGGGGCTGTGATTGTTGGAGAGTCGTCGTGGTACCTTCCGAAGGATGTCCCGTGCAAGAAGCCGTTCTCTTTTTGCTGTCAATGAGAGCCAAGTCAACCATGGTTGCATCTAGTTATCGCATCCTATTTCAAGCCCAAAGACCCATTGAGACTCCTCAATTACAATTACATACGTTACACGATCGAACCATACCTTACAATTCTTCTGACGATTCTCAAAGAAACATGCTTCCAGCATTCATTCGTTTCATGACCTTAGCTCTCAACTTACTACACGAATGCCAACGACGACGTTAATAATCAATGGGAGTACTTCGAAATCAAATTACCCTGATACTTCGTTCTTGAGATTTGCATACACACCCCCACGCACGCACTGTTGCATGCCTAAATACATGAACATAATACCCAAGGCCAATATGCTGAAAAGTGCTTAGTTCTATTTTTGGGTCTTCAAGTGGCTTGAGGAGAAGGAACCATGATTAGTTTCCAAATTTTATTGGAGATTGGTATTGCAGTACTTCTTGATCTGCCTTTTGTGGCCCATCTCAAAAGATATCTTTATTAAATCTAGTCATACATAAGAGGCTCTCTAAGCTAAGTGATTGTGGATTCATGATTTCAAGTACCGTCGCTTGCCACTGTCTTTTCACTTCTCGGTTCCCCACTGAAAGTACTTTCGTTTTCATCTTCTGTATCACTATCCACCATTACAATCTCTATATTTTCCATACGAATTATGAATTCTCTGCGCAATTTTCCGATCCATTCTAGCAATTCATGATTCTCCATTGGACTATCAAGAAGCTGTTTGAGCTGCTCTCTTAGTGCATTCAGAAGCTTCCTTCGTTTATCAATCGCTGAAGTCCAAGATGACTTCTTCCTCCTAGTAGCTTGTGCAATGAGAGTCTTTGATACTTCCTCTGCCACTGTGAGCACTTTTGGAGGTAGATCAACCACACGCGCTAGAGTGAGACCGTAGTGTTGTTCTTTAACACAGCCTTGATCAAGCTTGTAGAGCATTGTCATAGTGGCCGGGTCGCTCATGTCAACTGACAAATGGTAGACTTTAACCCCAGGGCGCTCAGACATGATTTGTGCTTATCTCTATTAGCAAGCATACTCATTAGACGATAATAAGTTTTTCAAACCAAGCTCCTTAAAGTGGGTGGCAAACCAAATGAGTGCTCGGCTCTCTGATAATGCTTCTGCAATGCTTAGAGCGATCGCTAGACCGTCTCTTGTACTGGTCCCACGACCAAGTTCATCGATTATGGCAAGGCTCCTCTCATCAATATTTCTATAACCACGGGTCAGTAAACCTGAAAATGCAAGGAAAATCTGAAAAGAACCTAAGGATAAATGCTGTTTCTCTCATTTCAGATGCAAAGGTAGAAACGTTTGCTTCAATACTATCATCCATTGACACACGAGCAAAAAGTTGATGAATCATTGGAAAGGATGCATAGCTTGCTGGCACGAAACAACCAACTTGCGCCATCACACTCATAAGAGCGACTCCTCTTATGTAGGTACTTTTTCCGCTCATGTTACATCCGGTAACAATTTGAAACCGAGATTGCTGCGTTGCGTAATAGTCGTTGGGTACAAATTTATGTGATGGCGCCTAGAGAGAGATGGATTAGTATTGCGAAACTATGTAGATTAAGCCCTACATACCTTGTCACGAATGGGATGACGGCCAGACTTGATAGCAATGCAATCAGTAATTTCCGGCCTGACGTAGCAATCTTGGTTCGTAACTAGTTGCCCAAAGGAAGCAATCATATCGAGCACGGCAATACTCTCACACACTTTAAAG